ATTGACACACTTTTCTAAATAATCTAAATGAATACACAACTAAGAGGACTTTTATGGGGGAGGATTTTGCACCATCAAACATGTTTAACTCTGACACATTCTGTATGTGCCTGTCCCAAGTCAGGAGCCTGTTTTTCAGCGGTTGTCGTTTGTTGCTGTATAAAGTAGTGGTTTATCGTTTATTGTTTGATATAATACATAAAATAGGCCGTTAGTTTTCTTGTTTGATTTGTTTTAAATTTGCCATTTCAGGACCTTTTAAAGCTTACTGTGTGGTATGGGTTTTGCTCGCTGTTAAATGCCAACCATTGACCTATAAATGTAAACTTCGACGTCATTTGGTCTCTGGTGGAAAGTTGTCTCATTGGCAATCATGCCACATCTTCTTATTTTAATATTTTAAATAAGAAAAAAAAATTCTAGTTAAAAATGCTGTAATTCTATGGAGACATTACACAGAAAAATGAAATACAGTTTCTGAAAGCAATCGCATTTGTTATTAACATATAACTATGATAACTACCAATCAAGTACTGAAAGTTGTTTTCCATTCGTTTGATGTTTTTGAGCCTTTGATTTTGCCTTTTAAAGCTTACTATGCGGCATGGGTTTTGCTCACTGTTGAAGTCCACCCGGTTACCTATAAATGTTTACTTCGACGTCATTTGGTCTCTGGTGGAGAGTTGTCTCATTGGTAATCATACCACATCTCCTTAATTTAATATTTTAGATAAGAACGAAGCTATCACTTTTGTATAAGGACCCTACGTAATCGAACGGTCTTAATAGTTTATCTTCAGTATCAATAGCAACTTCGAACACTGCACGTGGCACCTGTGGTCCACCCCTGACTTAGTTGACTGGAATTGACAGATTTCCTTTTGAAAGTCAGTGGCTCTCTTTGCACATTCCGGCTTCCTTCACCAATACAAAACTGATCGCAACGATATAGCCAAGAGTGCTGAATCTGAAAACACCAACAATCAATCAATCAATCAATCTTATGAAATACTAAGTAACCTTTATGATGGTTTCCTGAAACGTTGAAAGAAATCATTTTCTTTACCATTTATGCCAAAAGAGAAAAATGTACATTGTACACTTAAACGGAGGGATGGCCTTTAATTTGTCCAAGAACGATTGCAAAACTCCTACATGTATCCGAATACTTTCTCGAAAATACAACAATTTACTGCTTTGCTTATTGTATTTATTGCTTTCTTAATTTTTTTTTTATCACTACCCCCTTCTCCCAACCACAATTAAACAAATGACTGACAACACAGTCGGAACTATAACAGAACATATATTTTTACTCCAATGAAAATCTTGCAATTGCCACAGGTATAAAAATTTTGCCGAAAAACTGAATCCTCCAAAAATGTCATGCAGTTTATCACTGGTTGGAGGTATTGCCAATTTAAAACACTGAAAAAAGGGAATTTATTAAACAATAATGGATAGACAGTAAATGTAAACAATAAATTTATTTACAAACAGTAGAGACATTCAATTCATTTAAATGATCAACAAATTTGTATAGTGAAGGACCATTAGATTTGGAGGGGTTGGGCTTGGAAGACTTCAACTAGAGGCTCTATAGAGCCTGTGTGGCTCACCTAGGTCTATGTGCATATTCAACAAAGGACACTCTCCAACATTGTAGACAAGCATAGAATTCATTACGAAAATCTCTTTTTTGTTGATCTTAAAATAAAATTGAGAATGGAAATGGGGAATGTGTCAAAGAGACAACAACCCGACCATAGAACAGACAACAGCAGAAGGTCACCAACAGGTCTTCAATGCAGCGAGAAATTCCCGCACCCGGAGGCGTCCTTCAGCTGGCCCCTAAACAAATATATATACTAGTTCAGTGATAATGAACGCCATACTAAACTCCAAATTGCATTGCTGATCCTTTTGTCTGTTTATGTTCTCTATATCTTCGTTAGTTATGCTCAAAACACAAAAGAGGGTAAAAAATCCTCGTTTAAGGACAATCACTCCTATAAACTTAAAAGAGTGACAGTCTACTAACTATATTGGTTAAATTTGACTTGTTTGTAGAGCTTGTCGTGTTGATCATTTTTGTTATTCAAAATTTCTATGTATCTATAATAATATTTATCATATAACGCAAAACGCAAAAATATGGTAAAAATCATCATTAAAGGGCACTAACTCCAATAAGGAGTCGTCAGACGATTTCCTCCATATTGTCTTAATTAAATATCTTGTCTTGCTTATCATTTTTGCTTATTTAAGTTTCTATCTATCTATTATCATTTTAAGATATATGCAAAAACGCAAAAAGGGCTAAAATCGATATCAAAGGGCAATAACTCTAATAATAGCGATTTCGACCACGCAGACTTATTTTTAGATCTTGTCTTGCTGATCATTATTGCAATCTAAAGTTTCTCTTTATCTATTATAGTTTTCAAGATAATCGGCAAACAGGAAAAATCAGTGGTACGACGACGACGGACGATGGACGACGGACGCCAAGTGACGAGAAAAGCTCACTTGATTTTTTTTGGCCAGGTGAGCTAAATATAAAAATCAGAATTTTGAATTTGCCAGGTGAACGATTCGGACTCATATGATCCTCTAGCTCAAGGTCTGTTTGATTTCATGTAATAGAATCTAAAAACAATATGTCAGTGAGTGTTTAACATGTAAACGAATAATTTGTGTACGAATCAGTAATCGAAATGGCAGCTACTTTGTTTCACTTTTCAATGTTGACATTCTTTTCTTTTTAATAACTGGACATGTTGAGCACGTGCGTAACCCATCTTCAACTAAGGGTCAAATTAGAGGTTTCAAATAATGTTGGATTTATTTATAGACTTACAAGCCATTAATACATCAGCGATGTTTTTGCGCTTATTCTTACAAAAATAAATTAACTCACAGCTAATACCGAAATATTATTTCAACATTAAAAATGTTTGAAATGGAAAAAAAATCATATTTAATTATTTTGTCTAAATAGTAGCTAATGTCCATTTTAATGAGGTGTAGCAATTAGGATCAAATTATCTTTCTGAATTGAATATTTTTTTTCTGCAAACCGAAATTTTAAACCGGTTCAAATTAAATATAAATTAAAGAAAATTAACCCACAAACATTTATCTAAACACTTAGAAGTACATCTGAAAACAAAAAAATATATTGTTGTTTGTTTTGTTTTACCGCTGCTTTTTCTTTTTTCTTCTTGTATATTCATTTACTTGGTGCGTTTTTTTTCTTTCTTTTTTAAATTAACAAATACGACTGTTTCCTCATCTTTTAGAATATTTATTCATTTGTTTGCATATTTACATGCATGACCAATTATCCAAGAGTGCAATGTTGATTTCAATTCCTACGTGTTAATTAATATTCTTTATTATGTAATCTTAAGCCATAATTCCTCGCAGTGAACAAATGAGGCATTGAATTAAAAAATGCACTTTCAAAAGTTTACATCAATCCCAAAGACGAAAAATAAAAATAACACTTCATAAAGTTGCCTCCAACGCGATTTTCTGGATTGACCCTCGTCAGGCTTGCTCATACCTGAAAAAAAAATGAAAACAAATTATGAACATGGGCGGATCCAGCCATTTTTAAAAGGGGGGTTCCCAACCCAGGATAAAGGGGGGGGGGGGTCCAACTATATGTCCCCATTCAAATGCATTGATCGTCAAGAAAAAAGGGGGGTGTTCCAACCCCCTCCCCCCCTCCCCCCCCTGGATCCGCCACTGATGAAGTATAACTACATAAACACATAAAGAGCTATATGACCAGAAGGGGCCTAACATAATACCTTAATCCAACTAAGGCCAATTAAAATTAATTGATAGATTTTCATCCCCGCCCGCCCCTTTGAAATCGTTCCGCCCCAATTTTTTTTATTTTGAAAAATTTACGATTTCCGGATTTTGTTCATTTTCGTTACCGGTTACTCTCGATAATTTCGTTTCATTAATAACATCCTGTTTCAAATTTTGGTTTTTGCATTTCTTTGTATGTTTGATTCGTTATACATGTATATACATGATAGAACCTTATTATTACACTTGCATATATGAAGAACACGTCACAAGAGCGTTTCATATCTAATAAAAAATAAAAAATAAAATCCTCCCACCCACCCCATTTTTTTCAAAAATTTGGATGAAAATCTACTAATTAAATTTACTTGGCCTAAGGTATATTCTCGAGTTGAAGCAATATTTGAATAATCTTAAGCTTAAAAATTTGCAGACATACTGTACACATAAGCTTTACACATAAATCGCATATTGTTCTTGAAAAAATAAATTAATTCCTTCAGTTTGTCTTTGGTTCATAAACATCTATATACTGTAAAAATGTTACGTGATGATGTTTCTCTCCTGTTAAGTGTACTTGTAAAATTATTAGATAAAAACATACACTTCTTGTAACCATGGAAGCCTTATATTGACATTATGAGTTCTATCCGATTAATCATATTGTGTCTCATGAACGTCCAGTGACAAATAAATCATGTATATTTTATGACGGACGAATCGACCTTTATAATAAATGAGATATCAAATCGAGTAGACCATTGGCAACAAACCTCTGTCGGTGTAATTTTAATTACACATTAGTAATCGGCTATATTTAGAAACAAAATAGAAAATTAATATTATAGTTTTTTTAATTTTTATTCCCTTACATGATTGGAACCAAACTGGCTAAGGATATTTCTTAATGACGTGGTATAGAATATGCCCCATCAGCGCCTTATAGGCAGGTATTTAATTGTATGAAATGATATACTATATTAATCTATGACATGAAATCAAACAGTCCTAGGATAATTATTCTTTTCGTTAATACTTTTTTTTAAAATATGGTGGCATTCGTATAATATGTTTGCATGAATCAATTATAAAAAAACACGAGAAAATACCTTGTTGGTGCCTCAAAACTCTTACAATTCAATTGTTTGAGATGTTATTAAAGAACATTGTGACGGTGGTTAGCATACTGCACGGACGGCAGGAATATGGTTCCCGTAAAATTTCTGGTGTTTTTTGTTCTGTGTCTTGAAATATCTGATGCACATTATTTGAAGAAATCATTTAAAGGTAATAAAGCATGTTTATATATATTTGTTAGTTGTCATGAATATTGAATTTTGATTTTTACCCATATCCGATGCAAATCCAGAATTTTGTAAGGGGTCACTAACAAAGCAACGTTAGGAGTGGGGCTTGTAAAAAGTCTATGCATTGACCATATATATATATATATGTTGATTGCGTGGTACAAAAAAATTTCAGAATGAAAAAAATACACCCCCCCCTCACACACACACACTCAATGTTTCCTTAAGCATAGGGAATTCTTTATCCCTAGAAAATATCGTGACTTATGTAACTTATTAACCAATGAATATTGATTTTCTGGACTCAGACATTTAGTAAGATTTACAAAAAGGCCTAAATTATTAAAAAAAAAAAGCAGAAAAGTAAAGTTCACTTTTGATTTTGTTTCGATTTTATTATTTCAAAAGAAAATTGTGAGAAAAAAAAACAATTTCGCGTAACCCAAATATGTTCAAAATCTAGTACATATTGTACTTTAAGAAGTGCACTCTTTAATTCAAATTTTAAGAAGTTGTCTCTTGTCAAGGGATTGGAGAAATACTTGTGATCGACTTTCCCCTTGTTTTTTCGAGATAGGTAAATTGGCAGTCACGTTTAAGAACCCTTTTAAAATTCTTCGAATTAAAGGAAACCGTATGTGAAGGTTGAAAAAAAAATAGTGATTTAAAAGTAGAAAATTTATCATTCAATGCAATGAAAAAAATCATCATCCTGTACATACATTAAGCAGTGGCGGACCCTCCTTTTGATTGGAAACTATTTCATTTTTAACATGAAATCGTCCTAAACTACACGCCTGTGGTCCAGCTAATTAAAATATACACTGCTTTGAAAACACTATTGCTTTTACAAGTTTGAACTGTTTTAATAATAAATAATCGAAAGGATACCTATTAAAGATCAATAAATAAACTTAATTTTAGATTTGTCAAATGATGACACAGAAGATTTTCAGACTGAAATTAGGGTAAGTTACTTTTTGTTTCTATACGGATCATGTGACTTTTTGTTGCTATACAGATCATGTGACTTGTTTTTGCTATACAGATCATGTGACTTTTTGTTGCTATACAGATCATTTATATGGGTATTTCGTTTGTTAAATACATGCAGTATAGATATATACAATTAAAAGTTCGTCGTAAACAATTAACTGGTAAAATCAACTCGGGGACATGACAAAAATGATTGAGTTCCTACTGTTCGTGCTACCGCTATTTTTGTTAGTTTTTTTGGTTGTTTTTTGTGAGTGTGTTGAGTGGCGATCGAATGAGTTGAGCCTTTTCCAACTGATGTTGTTCGTTAAAATGCGTCGTAGCCGGGGCCATTAAAGGCCCCACTCTTTGGACAAAAAGAAAAAAAGATGACAAAAAAAAAGGAAAATTTAACACTTATTAATTCTAGACTATTAGACTTAAGATGCGTAAGTCTTTTTTTTATTTATTGTCACTCTCAGAAGTCTGTCACCTTACTTTCAAGGCTACTCCTGCGAAAAGAATATTGTGTTGTGCTGTTACACCACTAGCCTAGACATGGGGAGGTTTGAGTGCTCACGCACATGTTAAATCTCGCCATAGTATAAATGTGCCTGTCCTATTCAAGAATGTAATTCAGTGTTTGTCGTTGGTCGCTATCTGCCATTATAGTATTAATTTTGTATTCGTTTATGGTTTTTGTTGTTAGTTCGTTGGCTTCCTTTTTTTATGGGATTTTTTTCATAAAAAAGGGGGGCTTTCCAGTTTTCGAACAATAACTCAAAAATGCTTCGAGCAGTTTTCATGAACCTTTGGTGATTGGTTTATATCTATCAAAATACGCTCCGTTTATAGTTTTTTTTTTATAAATTTCTGATATGACATTGAGGAGAAATGGAACTTTTTTCGTTGAAAAAACGACGGGCGTATCATGCGCTCATGGCGCAGCTCTTCGTTTTAATTGTTTCGCCTTTTGTCATATCGTTGCCTTTTACAGCTTACTGTACGTTATAGGGTTTGCTCCTTGTTGAAGGTCTTACGCTGACCTATTGTTGTTTTCATTATCGTCCATTAGTCTCTGGTATGTAGTTGTTGTCATTGGCAATCAAACCATATATTTCCTTATTTTCATATTGAATCAGATGGTCAGTTCGAGTTCGGGAAGTATCGGGTTCCGTCCCCGACCGATTCGAACAACGGATATGAGTCGAAAGACACCAAAGACACGAAAGACACCAAACATAAAAAAACTGGTACACACACTGGATCCAAATAACAGCTCATGCTTGAGCAATGCATGCATATAGTGCTTTTATGCTTTTTTTATTTTATTTTTATTTTGTTTAATTCGTTTATCTTTCTTAATTCCTATTATCTACTGTGTTTATCATTCTAACTTGTGCTATGTTTTAAGATATACTTATTTTGCATACCATACCATGCCTTTTAACTTTTGTATATCATCTATGGTATCTTACCGTGCACTGTATGTTTAAAATTGTCTTGTTTTCATGACTTGTGTGTATATACAAATGTATTTTGTTATTCGATTTGAAAAGCTCACTTAGAGCTAATGTTTATGTAGTTTATTGAATATCGACCTTAAGGAGTATAAATTAAAACTGATAGAATTTGTTCATACTTAGCCAAAACGTATTGTGATATATTCAAAAATATAATTAAAATTATATGTCACTGAGCATTCTCTCAAGCTACAGGTTGTGACAAAATGACACACTTTGTATGGATTATACAGGAAAAAACATCATTATGTGATTAGAAGCTAAACTAAATGATAGAATTGTAAAATAAAATATTTAGAAAATGATTTGAGAATATCAAAAGAAAAGATAGGGTCACCGTAAGTTTTTTTCTGGCTAAAATATAAATTAGCAAAATTTCATGTAGATTCCTTCAGAAAATGCACTATTTCAGAGTTACCTCCCCTTAAAATGCCAATTCTAAAACATTTAAAAAATCAAGCAAAAATAATCTACGCTAGTAAAATTATTATAATTTATAAGTTAAAATTTTAAAATATAAATTTATTCTTTTAAATGAGAAATCACATTAGTCATCTGCAATCCTCATCAAATTTTGCTAATTTGATTGAAAATCTGAACCTTAGGTTCTCGGAAAACTACCAAAAGTCAAACAACAGTATACAAAACATAACATAGATAATTAAAGACTGAGCAAGACGAACCCCACAAAAATCCGAGGGTGATCTTAGGTGCTCCGGAATATACTTTATAATATACAGATCCTGCTCCACATGTGACACCCTTTCTGTTGAAAATTGGTCTGCTTAGCACGGGACGTTCAAGATTAAGAGCAAACACCGAACATAGTCAGAATAATGTGTGAGTAGGATTTATGATTCTGTCTGCACACTAGTGTTTCCTTGGAAGATAGCACGGTAAACATATGACTTAGCGTGTCGGGTCTGGTACATATCAAGGTATATAATCATAGCATATTAACATGTACTCGTCATGATATCGTCTAATATCTTATTGCCACTGGACGTTAACCACCAATGAATCCATCCGTCCATCTTCGTAAGTTTGCGATTCAATTGTCCGTATACATGTAATGGATTGAAAAATATTCAATCTTAAACATTTAATCATCTTGGAGGGTCTGCTGGATTGTGGATCATTAGTTTCTTTAATCTTTTGATCGTTTCTTTTTCTATTCCTTGTTAATTTTGCATAATATTATCTATTTTTTATTTTATGCCCTTTATTCTGCACACTTTGTGTCTATTCTTTATTCTGTAAACCCTTTCAAGACCCCCATATGGCCGAGAAATCATATGTTTGGTCATACTTCATCTTTGCAATGTAACATTTCGTTTGCATTTACTGGGCGTTAAATTTACATATTTATCCTGCAATCAGCTAACTAGTGTACAAATAACAGGTACACAAATAAATTTTTGCTTTATTCGTACATGTTCATATAAAGTCTCCTGTTACCCGCTTCCATTTTGAGCAAGCGGTAATAAGGATATTTCTTTCTGTGTAACAGTTCATTCATCTTCGCCGTTCGCGTTTCAACTATATATATATATCTGTCTTAGTTCCTCGCTGCATTGAAGACCCATTGGTGGCCTTCGTCTGTTGTCTGCTCTATGGTCGGGTTGTTGTCTCTTTGACACATTCCCCATTTCCATTCTCAATTTTATTTAGACCCCTCTACCAAGAAATTTGTTTTGCATGCACACATATAAAAATTGCGGTTTTTATCCAACGCAATCATAGGTTTGAACATTGTTTTCAATTTAGGCTTGTTTATATGTTAAGATCCATTTTGTTACATCTGGTGATCCGTTTATTTGGCAATCGCCAATGGCAGTCAGCAGGGTTTAAGAACATCCGTTGTTCGACCTGCTAGTCAAATGCGTTTTGTTAAAATATACTTTCTCACTTTTTTGGTCTTTGAAAAATGTTGTTTGTGCTGTATTTAGATCCCTCTACCAAGAAATTTGTTTTGCATGCACACGTATAAAAATTTCGGTTTTTATCCAACGCAATCATAGGTTTGAACGTTGTTTTCAATTTAGACTTGTATATATATATATATATATATATCGCTATCTTTGAAAAATCAGAGGCATTGGTTTGGATTTAAACAACAAACGCTCAAGTACCGGGTGTTACTTGCAGGATAAAAACAATATATGTACATTGTCGGAAATATAACATGTATTTGTACTCGCTACGAAACAGAAGAAAAGCTCGACGAGCGTCGCTTTTCAACTTGTTTCTTAAGCTCGTACAAATAAATTTTATATTTTCCGACAATGTACATATATTGTATATAATTATCCTTGATCTAATTATCTCAAAATGTGTTATGGCCCACCAATTAGAGTCGATAGAATTTAGTTGCAGGCCAATCATAAATTCCATTCGACTTCCGTTATTCCGAACTCTCCTTAGATAAAAGGGCCAAATATTTATCAAGCTAAAGGGACAGGAAAACACACTAGTATTGGTTGCAGATCGCGTTACTTTTCGGATGAATTATTTTTCACGAATATCAGAGGCGGATTTAGGGGGAGGGGGGATGGGGCCCGGGCCCCCTCTTTCACAGTGTGGGAAAAATTTGGTTAATTATATAGGGAATCACTGAAGCATGACTGGAGCGGCCCCCACTTACGCAGTCAGTGGGCCCCCTCTTATGAAAATTTCTGGATCCGCCACTGAAAATGCGATTGTTGGAATTTGACAGACAGATGAGGATTCGTGTCGTTCTGACCGTGACCTCGTGTCTAGCAATGGTTTGGTTTGCTTATTTAAATCCTGTGATAATTTGTAGTGAGTCAATACTATTTAAAGTCGTCATATATGTACACAAGAACAAGTCATAATATGAGAGTTGCATGAGATCTGGTGGGCTCTTTCACCGTTCTTCACATTAAAAAGCATGCCGTTTTATGCAAAATACAAAACATAAATAAAAGGGCATGCACATATTTATAAGAGGGTTTTCTGTATCTATTTTGCTTCATGTGTATTCTCTATTCTTCGTATATAAGATCAAGTATTACATGTCTCACCTTTTAAAAAAAAATCTTTATCGTTATTCTTTATCGTTGGTACTTTATTCTGTATTCTCTACTGTGAGTTTCCAGTCATGACTTCAATACAGTAAACCCTTTTTATAATCTGCTATATAAAGGTTCTGATAGTTCATGTCTATGTTCCCCAAATATTCGGTCTTTGCTTAACAAGAATAATAGGCTCATTATAATCCAGCAAGTAAAAATTTCAGCTTATATCTCCTAACTTCTTTATCTCATGTGGCCCTGTGGGAGTCTTTTATTGCCCACCTTTTTCTCGGTCGACATACTCGACCTGCAGATGGACTATTGTTTCTTGTCCTAAATATTTGGAACTGGACGTTAATAAAAAGTCATGAAGCTATGTACATACACTATATACAGTTAGTAAAGTCTAAAACAACTTTGATTGATTGTTGGTTGCTTAACGTCAAGTGGCAAATATTTCATGCTTGTTCAGGACGACGACAACTTTAAATCTATCACTAGTAAAGTGATGAGTATCAGTAGCCATCACGATTTGATCAAATTTAGTCTGGTTTTGTGCATTTTATAATACATGTTCATTGTTAAAGTTTTTAAGTCCCACATTTCGATCTTGCTTTTGATGAACACGTCCTTGAAATAAGTACAGTCCAGTATAAAGATTGTAATGCTGTTTTTGTTTATACAAATATCTTTCCATTTTTCCTGGGTCATAATATACATGATATATTGACGTTAGTATGATAGTCCCAGATTTGTCTCAATCTCTCAATACTTTTAATAATGAAGTATCTTATTGGCAAAAGTTTCTTTTCTGGTATCGCTCAATATGCTGGGCATGTATTATATTTAGCATCATGTGGGATATCTTCACTCTAGTCATTTTAATAATACTTTCGGTTTTTTGTGTAATTATTCCTCGGGGGAGGGGCACTTCAAAATCAGCTTAATTGATAGGGGCTGTCGCTGGTATTCTGTTACCCCACCCTTTTCATGATAATTTAGATCTCATATATTGCGTAGGTAAAATTGTAACCTTTTCCCATATTGGTTGGGTTTCGTGTGGTGTGTTGGTAAAATGGAATATTTAAGGCTAAGATTTTGTATGTGATGTTTACTTACGGCGAGACTTTCGGCTGTGAAAAAATGACAGGGCTTTTCATATGATATGCAAGTAATTGGAACTTTATTGACCTTACCATATGTTTCTGATAGTTTTACCCACCTATTCACATATTTTCAAGCTGGAAAATGTGGCCTATTCCAGCTGCACGTCCTATCACCTTAATTCATACAGGAAGTCCCCCCCCCCCCCGAGAATAATTCATTTGTCGGATTGTATTGCTCACTGAATTTTGGGCACCATGATTGCATGATTAATAAAAAAAAATCTTATATATCTCCTGGTTCTTGGTTTCACAATTGACAGGTTGTTATTATATCATTTATCTGCTAAACGTATGTCTATCAGTTTGTAGAGTATATATATTCCCGTTATCATCGATCTTATTTTGATAAATGTTTTTATGAACGTCAATTAAGAGACCCCAAAAAACTGTTGATTGTAGTGTTGTCAAGTATAGTATGCGGATTTCGGATTCCATGAGATGTAAAATATATTTGTATACCTTTTATCTTTAAGTTTAGTGTACATATAGACTTTTAAGAATATATATTCGCAACGAAGCGCTCCTATGAAGGAGGGATTTCCTTATACAGATACCGATATGGCGGCAAATATTTAACGGATTCTTTTCGATCTGCATCAAATATTGGAGTGCGTTATTCCAGTAACTTGACAATGCAGCATTCACCATTTGGGGGGGGGGGGGGGGGGGGGGGGGGGGTCACCATTATCAATATTTTCCATTTTGTAACGGTCGACTGCGGACATTTTACGTCTCTCCGTCATTGACTCGTATTTAACAACCGCTCAGCCGTTTCCGTCAAGTTTTCAGACGCAAGTTTTTTGTCAATCGTAACTACTCGGCCATTCTCGCTATGCAGTAAATTATTTCTTCGTGCAACCAGAAAGGCCGAGTAGTTCCGATTGGTTTTTTATGTTACTTTTGACGTTGAGTGAGGCAGGCCAATCGACAATCCTCGGGTGAATCCGCTACTCTCCTTCTATCCAGGTACGGAATCGGCCGAGTTGTGACGAATGTGAGGCAGGCGTTACCTGGTGAAAGGAGACGAAGTCAGAAAACCTTTAGAATATATACTTTACCATGTCATGTATTTGATTTTTTTTTTCGAATAATCGATCATAAATATACACTTTTTAAAAACTTTTAACAATATCATGAAATTGATTAGATGACGTCACAAAGTATATCGGTTTTTTGATATTCTAAAAATAACCGTGCAATATACTTTTGCTATCCGCCGTTTTCTATCTACCTTCGAAAATATAGTTTAACATGTGACTATCCCAGCCTGAACGCATTAAATTAGTTAAAATTACGAATTAATAATATAAACATTTATTGCAATTCCCAGCATTATTTCAGTCATTTTCTGGTCAGAAAATTACTGAATTTAATTACAAACATGATTTAGGGAGCTACCATTTGATTTTTATGGGGGGTAGGATGAAAAATTTTGTCCAGCATTTTTTATACAACCGCAAAAATTTGGTTCGTATAATGCTATGATGTCGTCGTCTGTGTCTGCGTCGTCGTCAACGTCCGAAGACACATTTGGTTTCTGGACAATATCTTTAGTTTAAGTGAATGGATCTCTATGAAATTTTACAAGAAGGTTCAATACCACAAAAGAAAGATTGGGATTGATTTTGAGGGTAATGGTACCAACAGTTTAGGAAAAAGGGGCCAAAACAAGCATTTTTGTAGTGTCCGGACAATTACTTGTGTGTAAGTGTATGGATCTCTCTGACATTGTACCACAAGGTTCCATATCTCAAAGGGAAGGCTGGGATTGAGTTTGGGGGTAATTGCCCCAAACATGCAGGAATCAGGGGCAAAAAATGTGCCAAAAACAAGCATTTTTCAAGTTTCCAGACAATAACTTGTGTTTAAGTGTATGGATCTCTCTAAAATTGTACTACAAGGTTCCATACTACAAAGGGAAGGCTGGGATTGAGTTTGGGGGTAATTGCTCCAAATGGGGGGGGGGGGGGGGTAGAAAAAGTTTGGGGGGGTTTCCAATTTTTTTAAGGGGTTCCATATTTTTTTTTCTTCAAAATTTTTCAAATTTCAATAGATTTTTAAGATCTTTGACCACATTTATTTTGTGTTAGAATCCTATATTATGTCAAAAATTTGATCACAATCCAAATTCAGACAGTATCAAGCTTGAATATGCTTGAATATTGTGTCCAAATTTGCCCCAACTGTTCAGGGTTCGACCTCTGCGGTCGTATCAGGCTGCGCTCAGCGAAGCATTTTATTTTCTGTTGTAATTAACATGATTAATCTCTATCCTGCCTTTTTATTTTTCACTCTATTCGGTCATGCCTTATTTTTATTAGTTTATCCTGACTTTTTTTACATAAATTGTCATCCTGCCTTTTTTTTTCGCCAATTCACTCATCCTGTCATTTTTTTTTTAACTCAAAACTGACCTGTCCTGCCTTTTTTTTTAAATTTCATCCTTTATCCATGAAATTATGTCCACTGCACACTTTTTCACAGTAAATTGTGTCCACAGATATAATGTTATTATGAAATATTGTCCGGACTATATTTACCTATGAAATCGTGTCTACAGATGTCAAAAAGTGTCTTTCAAAGAAACATGAGAAAAGACAATATTTCATATGAAAAAGTGTCCTAATCATAGAAATGACGGTATTTTATGAGAAAAAGTGTCCACTCGCAATACCTACAAAAGATATAGTTACATAGCTTCAGTTCTTTATCTAAATTGAAGTTTTAAAAATTAGAAGGGGGGTTTTGTCTCTATTGAAACATGGCATGTAAACTAAAGTATTGAATTCATACAAAATGTGATTATCACCATGTGTAATTATACATATAAAATAATAACAATAAAACATGTACTATAATACACACAAAAACAGTAATATATTTAATAGTACTTAATATGAACTATGTGGATAATATTATACGTGTAATTCATTTCAATATACAAAATCATGTAATATTCAAGAATAGTACTCATAAAATCTGTTCTTCCTTTATTTGACCTTTCTTGTTCTTGGGGTTGTGACAGTTGAGGCTGGTGGATACTTTTTGTCGACATCTTTATAGCTAAGATAATTGAAAATGCTTTGGAATTTAACACCTTCCATTTTTTGTTTTTATCAAATTATAACAGGTTTTTAATTGGTTTGTTTTAATTAGTAATAGAAAATTAAATATTATAAGCCAAAAGATTTCAGTAACTTTTATTATCTCCCTTTGAGGGACACTTTTTACTGTGAAAAAGTGTCTTCTTATTGAAAATCAATCTTTGCAGGACAGAATTTTTAATATTATTTTATCATGAAATTATGTCCAATTGAATGGACACTATTTCAAACCATCGGACACATTTAAATATACCTTTTCTGTGAAAAAGTGTCTGTGTGGACACTTTTTCACAGGACACTTTTATGGCTCACAATTGGACCAAATCAAATTGCTGACCTACATGGAACTTGACTTTGGTCATGTACGTGCAGCTCTCAAAAAGCAATACTGAGCATGTTGAGAAACTACAAGTACAAAATGTATAGTTCAATCTTACTGTGAGAGTGCAGTCTAGTTCAACTTTGATTAATGTAAGATTATCATGAAACATATTTTGACAATTACAGACCTACACGAACTCCCTTGGTAGAGAAGTAAGACTCCGAGATTTAGACAGATACTCTGTAGATGACATTGCCGACAGTGAGGATACATTATGGAATGTGGCGGATGAAACACAAAGAGATTTGGATGGAACCTCAGAGGATATGGATGATCCGGCTAAAGAAGAGGTACGCAGGTTCATGTGGCCCCACATTAGGATGTGCAAGTAATCACATAATCATAAAATATTTTTAATAAAATCACACAATCATTAATTATTTTTTTAAACAAGATAATCATGATAATCAAATAATCAAAAATACAGTCCAAGATATCAGAATAATCAAATAAACATGAAATATTTGATCTGGTAATCAAATAATCACTATAAAATTGCAAAGTCATCACCTTATCAAAGATCCCATGAGGAGGCTTGTACATGTAGTTTGGATGTCTTAAGGTTTTTAACAGAAATATTGGTCGTTTTTATTGGCCTAAATATAGAACAGATCACTAGAAAAACCCCCCAAAAAAATTGAGGAACAAATCATGGTAACAAATGATAACCAAATCGTATGATTTCTTTATGATTTGAAAGTGATAAAATTTCACATGCAAATGAGCTAACAAATCACAACAACAAATCACAAACAAATCGGAGGTCATTGCTTTCCTACTTCAAGCTAATCACAAACAAATTGTAAAGAAATTATAAACAAATTGTTATCAAATCTTTTTCAAATCAGAAGTAAATCATATTCCTACCTCAAGCAAATCACAAGCAAATTGTTTTCAAATTATGAAGAAATTATAAACAATAGATATAAGAAGATGTGGTATGAGTGCCAATGAGACAACTCTCCATCCAAGTCAAAATTTATAAAAGTAAACCATTATAGGTCAAAGTACGGTCTTCAACATGGAGCCTTGGCTCACACCGAACAGCAAGCTATAAAGGGCCCCAAAAATTACTAGACAGTGTAAAACCATTCAAACGGGAAAACCTATGGTCTAATCTATATAAAAAAACGAGAAACGAGAAACACTTATGAACCACATCAAAAAACGACAACTACTGAACATCAGATTCCTGACTTAGGACAGGTGCAAACAAATGCAGCGGGTTTAAACGTTTTAATTTTATTTGCATGTCTCGATCTGAAATTGTTATAAAATCATTAACAAATCAGAAGTAAATCATATTCCTACCTCAAGCAAATCACAATCAAATTGTCAATAAATTGGCATCAATCATCAATTCACAGATTAAATCATTTACATCTAGATCAAAAATATTTTCTGCCCCTGAGACCCCCAAACTTTGAAGAGCACTTGTCTTCATTTTACCTTAGCTACTCCTCTGATTGTTATTAATGTTAAGGGATTACTTTCTCTGGTTGCCATGAGGGACGAATTGTTCCCTCTGTGAAAGGTTTCTCTTACTTCTCCCGAATTTGACTTTAACGAGATTTGACAAACACATGGGCAACCACGTTCACTAGAAGGATGTCGAATAGGCGATAGGTCTTAGTCTGGGTCCAAATCTGCTTATGTAGATTTGCCCCTACCGCCCTGGACCTGGCCAGTAAACATCGTGAAAAATTAAAACATAAAACTTGCCAGTGAATTTTGTCTGCTGACTCGGGAAGCTAGTCTTTATTTGCATGTCTCGATCTGTTAAATTTACACGTCTTTTACACATTTTTATTTTGAAAATTAATCCTGACAGTACAAAATTATTACGAGATACTGAAATGCACAGTTTCTGAATTTAAAAGTTTAACACCTTTGAATAGTATTATTTGAATGTGTGAAATGATAAGTTAATGACTGAGATATTACCACTGTATGTCATCATTGATAGTATATGTTACTCTTCATCTTGCAACTTTCTTTGTTCAGTTAATATAGAACAGTATTTGAAATTTGAATTTTATCTCAACCGGATGTCAGAGATATAGATAAACCCAGAAAATCCTAATGCAACAACATTGTATTCATTGTAACAAATCATCAATAAATCACACCATGATAGCTAACAAAGTTAACAAATCATTTTCAAGTCATTTCATATGATATTCTAAGTAAACAAATCATAACGAAATCACACCATTTTAGCTAACAAAGTTAACAAATCTTTTTCAAATCATTTCATACGATATTCTAAGTAAACAAATCATAAAGAAATCACGCAAAAACAGAAACAAATTGCTTACAAATCATACAATTGAATGAAATCAGTTTTGCAGAATTTGGGGAATTCTGATTTGTTTATGATTTGTTTAATGAATCGCAAGCAAATGGTACTAACAAATCGCAGAATCACGATTTGAAAGAGATTTGAATAGGATTTGAAAGAAATTTGATCATTTATTTTTCTGTTTGGGAAAAGACATTGATTATGCACAGATTATCATTACTATAGAACTTTCTCAAAACTCGCTACTAAAAGCCCTGATTCTGATTTTCAAATTACAATTGAGTACAAATTATTTCCCTTGTTGGGAAGTATACTATTAAAATACTAGTTTGCTGCAGTGGAGAGCAATGGTATTCAAGTGAGAAGTCAAGTACGGTAACTGTAACTGCTAGTAGTCCTTTGTTAATTTATGTACTGTAAATTCAGAAATTATTGCGTGCATTTATTATTGCGATTTTGTCATTTTAGACTAAAATGCAATTTTAATTTTTGCGATATTGAGAAAAAATCCTGTTTAACTCATGTAAAAAATTTCAAAATGCGAGTTTAAATTATTGCGATTATAACCCTGTCACATTTTTCGCAATAATAAAAACATCGCAATAATTTCTGAATTTACAGTATATCATTGTCAGTTGGCTCAGGAACTGTTCCCAGGTTGGCTTAGTTTCTTTTGTTACCTATTCTGACATCGGACTTGGACTTCTTTTAAACTGAGTTTTACTATGCGTATTGCTGTGTGTTTGTTTTTTTCTACATTGGCTAGAGGTATAGGGGGAGGGTGGAGATCGATCTCACAAAACATGTTTAACCCCGCCACATTTTTTGCGCTTGTCCCAAGTCAGGAGCCTCTGGACTGTGTTATTTTAGTCTTGTATGATTTTTAATTTTAGTTCATTTATATGTTTTGGAGTTTAGTATGGCGTCCATTATCACTGAACTAGTACACATTTTTGTTTAGGGGCCAGCTGAAGCACGCCTCCGGGTGCGGGATTTTCTCGCTGTGTTGAAGACCCTTTGGTGGCCTTTTGCTGTTTTCTGCTCTTTGGTCGGGTTGTTGTCTCTTTGACACATTCCTTATTTTCATTCTCAATTTTATTCTTCAAATTATAAATTTTGAGAAAAATTAAATTAGTATTGCATGATTGCAGAAATTAGTTCCTGGAAGGGATGATACATGATTTGTTAACAATGTGAGTTGTGCATCCATGAAAAACTAATTGTAAGGAAAATTACATGGCAAATGCTCTTTGTTTAATGTAGGCTTTTATATAAACTGTGAGCAAAAAAAGAAAATTCTTATTGCGATTGGACAATACAATTTCTTTGATGGGTGATATTATAAATTTTTTTAAATTTTTTTACAATTGCAGGAAAAGTTAGAAGAAATTACTAATAATGGTGGTGACTTGCTGGACCAGGATGTAAATTTATATAGTGTTTTATACCATGTTTAAATATACCATTGAAAGTTGATTAATATCAGATTTATAATCAACACTACTAGATTAAAAAAGAGGGACGATAGATACCAGAGTGACAGTCAAACTCATAGATCGAAAACGAACTGACAACGCCATGGCCAAAAATAAAAAGACAAACAGACAAATAATAGTACAGATGACACAACATAGAAAACTAAAGACTAAGCAACACGAACCCCACCAAAAACTGGGGGTGATCTCAGGTGCTCCGGAAGGGTAAGCAGATCCTGCTTCACATGTGGCACCCGTCGTGTTGCTTATGTTATTACAAATCCGGTAAATAGTCTAATTCGGTAGGTCACATTCGTGAAAAGGGAGGGTACTGTAGTTACGACAAAGAACATATCCGATATCATCTGTGAAACGGTTATTCCATAACGGTCAACCAACTCGTGATGGCGTCCGTAAAATTTACGAAGGGATGATTTCAACTTCACCATTTGGAACTCTAATAGTTTAATAGCTTCCTTGTGAGCAGCACTGTTGTTCTCTCTGTTCTACATTTTCTCAGAAGGAAACACCAAGTATCAAGAAACTTAAATTAATGAAATTGTGGCTCAGTAATGTTTTTGTAAAGTTTCTGAATTTCATTTAAATTAATTTTTTTTTAGGTTGAGAGAATTAAAAATCATGCAGACCATTTTTACCTTAAAACCTTTTGTTAAGCAAACATAAATTGTAACTTGGATGGAGAGTTGTCTCATTGGCACTCATACCACATCTTCCTATATCTATGTAGCTATAGGTATATAACCACTCATTTGGTTCTGATCAGGAAGAATATACTTTTGCTCATTGTTGAAGGCTGTAATGTGACCTCTAGTTCTTAATTTCTATGTCATTTGGTCTCTTGTGGAGAGTTGTCTCATTAGCAATCATACTACATCTTCTTTTTTTTATATTGTGTTATAAATTTATTGAAGCATATCATATTAAATGTGTTGAATAAAATAGTTCCTATGCTGACGAAGTAGGCATAGCTTTAACTCAAATTATGTCAAATATTTTGGTATGAATTGAAAGCTAAAGGACATGAGATCATTCATAGATCAGATGTGCCTATTTTCAGCAACCAGTGCAGCACATTATATGCAATTCTAATGCAATTATTTTGTATCAATGGTTCTGATTGGATGACAATAAGCGTAAAATTCTCTATCTCCCTGTCTGTAACTAAGGAAACCGACATTTTGAATTCTGGAAGACATGTAATTTCTTCAATAATAAACAAAAAACTCACATTTTCCACCTAGAAATCTTCTTTTTATCATATTTCATTACATTCTGAAGCGGACAAGAAGCCAGAAAACGCCCGATGTTTACGTTTGATGCCGGAAGAATACCTATGACGTCACCTAGTTTAAGCGCCAAAGAAGATAACATCATTTCGCAGAATTTTTGTTTAATGAAAATTTTACACTGAAATAATGACTAAAATTGAATGATTTTTTTATTTTGCATTAGAGTAGAGAAGTGTATTGTATTTGAAGTTTTGCGGAAGTCCATCAGTAGTTTTACTGTCGCAAATATCCGTTTACCTGTCTCCATGGACGTCCGCAAAGCTTCAAATACAATACAGTTACCGGTATCTCTAAATTTAGGTCTCAAGTCAAGGCTCTGATTTTGTTTTGACATGAACTAATGCAGTTTTTTTAAGTTTGAGAAAATATGACTATAAATGATGAAAATTACAAAAAGTAATGTACTCTGTATACCAATTAATGAGGTACTGACTTCAGGAGTTTAAATTTATCCATTATTTCTTAAGTTAAAAATCTTGTAAAAATGAACACTAACATAATAATTTTTTTTTTTTATTAGATTAGAATTTATGTGTTACTTTGATTATAAGCAAAAAACTACTGTAAATAAAATAACTTTGTCATTATCATATGAATAAAAAAATTCCTTGAATGTCTTTGTAAAAACAAATTGCATTTCTGCATCAAAATCTGTAGAAATCTGACATTATTATGCAGTCATTTGCAATCCGTGTTAGTTAAATACTGCAATACTACCTGCCTAAGAAAATGCCTGTACCAAGTCAGGAATATGACAGTTGTTATCCATTAGTTCGATGTGTTTGAGTTTTTGTCGAGCCTGCGACTTTTGTCGCAGAAAGCTTGACATAGGGATAGTGATCCGGCGGAGGTGGCGGCTACGGCGGCTGTGGCAGCGTTAGCTAACTTCTTAAAAGCTTTATATTTTAGAAGGTTGAAGATCTGGATGCTTCATACTTTGTATATGGATGCCTCATGTTACGAAGTTTCCGTCAGTCACATGTCCAATGTCCTTGACCTCATTTTCATGGTTCAGTGCACGTGACTACTTGAAAAAAAAGTTAAGATTTTTTGTAATGTTAAATTCTCTCTTATTATAAGTAATAGGATAACTATATTTGGTATGTGCGTACCTTGCAAGGTCAGACAGTTTTCACTTGAACTCAACCTCATTTCATGGATCAGTGAACAAGGTTAAGTTTTGGTGGTCAAGTCCATATCTCAGATACTATAAGCATTAGGTCTAGTATATTCGGTGTATGGAAGGACTGTAAGGTGTACATGTCTAACTGGCAGGTGTCATCTGACCTTGACCTCATTTTCATGGTTCAGTGGTTATAGCTAAGTTTTTGTGTTTTTGTCTGTTTTTCTTATACTGTATGCAATAGGTCTACTATATTTGGTATATGGAATGAATTCCCGTATGAAATTATAAGGCGTATTACGCCTGGAAATAAGGCGTAAACCAGGCGTAAGTGGTACTTACGTGTCTAGATCCAGGCGTAAGGGAGCAGGAAACGTAAATTTGTAGTCCTTACGGGCGTAGAAAAAAGTGGTAAACCTGGCGTAAATTGAAATAAGCAAGGCGTAAATTTTCTTACGGGCGTAAAACTGTTGGTATGGCGTAAATCATAATACCCATAATGCTTTGTTTAAAGGATCATGGGAATTTTTTTCAAAATTTGGCTCTTTGGTTTTAGTTTGCAAGAGTTGGACTTATGGCAGCTTCATATGTTCAGGGATAATTAGCTTGTTTTGTGCTTTTTGAAAGAATTTGAAATTGGAAATATGGAATCAAATTGATTAATAAAAATTGTGAAAAAATGGAAAGTAAAACATGGTAAATAATAATTATGTGAGTATAACCTAAGATATTAAGTTTTAAGTTTTAACAGTAATTTTAAAATCCCAAAACCTTTAACCTTGGATAATAACATTAAAATCTTTTACATGAAGTTAAATTGCAGTATTATCATTATATTTTAAAGGACATTAATTTATAAAAAACTTAGTTAATTAAAATGCTTAAGTTTTATTTCAAGAAAAATTAATTGTCATAATTCTTATTTAAACTTTAAACTTATTTGAGCCAGTGGCAGTGTCTGTCTTAAAATGTATTTATTTATATATTAGCTTCTTCAATGGTTAATATTTCCAGTTTTATGTCAAACAATGAGAAATTAAATCAACAGTACAGAAGTTTGTATTAAATACACAAAAGTACACAGCTAGGGTAATACACTGATTTGAAATAAGTGTAGTATTATGTAAGGATATTACGCCTGGTTTATTTATTGACCAGGCGTACTCATTTGCATATTACGCCTGGTTTTCTCTGGACCAAGCGTACTCATTTAAATATTACGCCTAATTTTACGCCTGGTTTCCGCCTCAGTTACGCTTGGTTTCCGCCTGGTTTCCGCCTGGACATACATTCCTTAAACACTGCAATGACGCCCGGATAAAGTATGATTTTTACGCCTGGTTTCCGTGTCATATACGGGCGTCACAGTTCGTACTAATTTGTAAGGTGTACATGTCTAGCTGGCAGGTGTCATCTGACCTTAACCTCATTTTCATGGTTCATTGGTCAATGTTTAGTTTACTTGGTTAATGTTAAGTTTATGTGACAGTTGTAAAAAAGCTTTATATTTAGGACTATCAACATAATATCAATGATTAGTAAAGAAGGCGAGACATTTCAGCGTATGCACTCTTGTTGATTTTACCATCTGATTTCGGACTTTCTGTGAATTTTCCTCGGAGTTCGGTATTTTTGTTATTTTACTTTTTTGTATGTTTGAAATACTTCACAGTTAATGTTTAGAAAAGAAACTCTTTTAAGAATTTCAGTGTTGTATTTATTCATGAAAGAAATTAAAGTACAACTGATTAACTTATATAAATTGTTTTTAATTTAATTGTTTATTTAAACTTGTAGAATGTTAACCAAGATTCAACTTTAGCCAAGATGATAGAGTCTATGATTGTAGAAGTCAATGGACAAGATAAAAAGGTTTGAAAAAGACCCCAAACTTAACTTAACCTGTATGTTAAAACTGTTTTTAATTTTTATTGAGAATTATTACTGTTTCACGTGGGTCTCATTGGGGTCTAAGCGTGACGCGGGATTGCCGATTTTTTGTAAGCAAGACACGTGAAAGTCAAATTATTGTGCCGTGAAAACGGGAAATGAAGTCTAGCGGGATACGGGAAAATACAAAAAAAATGAGAATTGCTTACGTACATAGTGTAAGCGGGATACGGGAATCTGTCAAAACAGTAAGCGGGATCCGGGATCAGAACCCCCCAATGAGACCCCCTTTCACATGTCCATAAAAATGCTGTCTATTATGATAATAATTATAATAATAATAATTCTTTATTTAAAGAGGGTTACACAGTTAGCTATAAAACTAATCTTCACTGAGACCCTCATGAAATACAATGAAATATAACAAACAATTACAAAATATGAAACTAACACATATATATATGAAAAAATGAAATAAAAAAATATGAAATACTAGTATACAATTTTCAAAACAGGTAAAATTACAAATGCATATAGTATTGGCAACATTCAAATCACCTCACCAATATCTTAAGTTTGAGTATTAGTGTGTGAAAATTATTATGCATATGAAATTACACAGCTTCTTAATGTTCCAACAAGTAATTTTTTGATGAGACCAGTAAATGTGTTGAATTGAAAACACAGGGCAATCTGAGACTGTTGAATTAAAAAAGAAACGATGATCTGCGTGGCAGTCTTCATTTGAACATTATTTTGTTCTTTAATTATTTTTGCCTATTTTCTCTATTTAATTGGGGACTCGGTGGCCAAGTGGTCTTAGTAGTTCTACTACTGTAATCACTAGCCAGTCAACACTTAGGTTGTGAGTTCGAACCCCGCTCGTGCGGGTGCACTCGACTCCAATCTTAATTGACTAATATTGTCAGTTTTCCTATCGAAGGTCGGTGGTTTTCTCCGGGCACTCCGGCTTCCTCCACCAATAAAAACTGGCCGCCCCGAAATAGCCCAATTGTGGCGCTTAAAAGTGGCGTTAAAACGCCAACAATCAACGATCAATCTCTATTTAATTTTTTTTTTATCTTTCTTCCCTATTTTTAATTTTTTGGTTGCCCATTACATTCCATTCTTGCACCTTTTTTTCTCTATTTCTTTTTGTCTTGCACATTTGTCTCTATTTTGCTTTACACACAATTATGTAAAATTCTCATTTTGTTCAAGAAAGAAGACACATCTTCCTGTTTATTCCAAATTCAAACTGTGTTGTATTATTATTAATGCAATACATGAGGTTGTTTAAGGAGTTGTTTTAAATGTTCCTCTTATGACTAATTGCATGTGCCTTAATTTTGAATATGTGATATATTAAAAAAAGAAAATCACTTATTAATATTTAATTATGAAATTTTTAATAAAAGTGATAGTAATTGCAGAAATATGTATTTCGAAATGTGTTCTCCTACATATGGCCTCAATCTCTGTGGAGATAGTACTTCCTGTGACCTGTCCAGACTGAGGTTAATTGAAAACAGATGGCACATTTCTACAAGACTTATAACTGCTATTAAATCACTGTTATATGGCTCAAGTTTCTAATTGATGTTAAAGAATGAATGATAATTATTAATATGCATTCATCTAATCATCTAATTAAATATAAATATACTAGAAAATGTATAAATTTAACCTGTAACAGATGTTGCTAGTATTTTTTTTTTATGAAAAAAGTAGAAATGTTAAATAATTGTTGTATTTAAACACATTAATTTGGGTCACCAAAATTAAATTTTAACTTTCCATCAACAGTCTATGTTAAATATTCCATAATGGAATTGAAAATCTAGGGAAAATATCACTTCTTATAGTTTGAACTAAAAGTATTATTACTTGCAAACTTTCATTTTTAACTGTTTTACATTTTGAAAGAATTGTTCCTTTCAAAGAACAGAATCTATTGTGGCAAACTTTTTATTTCTGTAAGGGTAGATTTGGCTGATGAAAATTTTCTAAGTCTAAATTCCTGCTCATAAATGAATGTAAAATTTTCTAAGACAAATATCCTGCTGATCATTCTACAGAAAGGAATAAATTTCCTCAAAAGTCCAGCCGTGTTTATTTTCTTGTCAGCATTACAAAAAGTGCGGTTGGACTTTTAAGAAAATACCGGCTGGCAAATAACCCAAGTATAAGAAAAAGTACATGTACGGCTCATGTCAGACTGGATTTTTCAAAGTCAGACTGGAATACGTCTCAAGTGCAGGTGGAGTCCAGTTGAACTCCTGTTGAAATTTTCATACGGATTAGCAGATCCTGCTCCACATGTGGCACCCATCGTGTTGCTTATGTTATTACAAATCTGGTAAATAGTCTAATTCGGTAAGTCACATTCGTGAAAAGATAAGGGTATTGTAGTTACGACATAAGGAACATATCCGATATCATCTGTGAAACGGTTATCCCATAACGGTCAACCAACTCGTGATGGTGTCCGTAAAATTTACGAAGGGATGATTTCAACTTCACCATTTGGAACTCTTGGCTTAATAGCTTCCTTGTGAGCAGCAATCCTCTATCAAGGAAATCATGATAGGAAACACAAGCCCGGGAATATCGTATCAATTGGGAGATATATACTCCGTATGCAGGCGCTGCTGGAATGTTGCTACATAGAAATGGAAAGTTCACAATTGGGAAGTTTCTAGGGGACAAAATATACATTGACACAACCCATTTTTCTTGGTTGACCAGTTCCTGCTCCCAATATCGCAATGGGAGATAAAGTACATGGTCATCTGTTGTCAACGTATATTTGTTACGCCTAACAGAAGTTCCACTGGAATTTTTGTTATAAACAATGTCATAATATCTATTCCTGTTGGAACAAATATTCTATACTATTTATTCCGTTAGAAACATATACTGTAATATTTATTCCGTTAGGAACATATACTGTATTATTTATTCCTGTGGAAATAATATTCCAGAATATTTTTTTCCTTTTGGAACTTATATTATGAAGGAACTTCTATTCCATGACACTGTGAGTGTGACGCTACAACAGTTCAGTTTTCACAAACCAAATTGATGTGATCTGCTCAAAAATTTCATCTACGCTATATCTACTATTAAAGATTAAGAAATTTCTAAATCTAGACTGCAGAAAATTATTCTATAATGGTTATATCTTACCACCAATTGATTATTGTTGTATAGTGTGGAGTAGTTGTAGCAATGAGGGTTTAAATAGGATATTAAAATTACAAAAGAGAACTGCTAGATTAATACTAGAAACAGACCCTTTCGCTCCTTCCAAGCCCTTAATTATTCAAACACTTAAACTGGATGACAGTTGAACAGAGAATAAAATATCACAAGTTTGTGATGACATTTAAGTGCTTAAAAAATGACGCAGCATCATATCTTACAAGTTTCATTATGTTTCAGACAGAAATCCATACCCCTTGAGAAATGCTGTTCAAGGAAACCTCATACCCCCTAAACCAAAAACAGAATTGTTCAAAGAATCTTTTATGTATTCTGGACCATTCTTGTGGAATAATTTGCCAATACCGTTAAGAAATATTACAAATGTTAATTCTTTCAAATACAAAATAACAGATCATTTATTGAAATCAACCTAGCTGTATAAAAAATATTGAAAACTGCTTATGTCATCACGTTTATTTTTTCATAACATTTTTCAAGTTGTATTGAACATTATTATCATACTTGTCTTTTTATACTAATGTATGCAATGTATATTTTTACATTTTGTTTGATTTTTATGATGAGGGCCTCAGGGAAGATTAGCTATATAGCCAACTGTGTAACCCTCTTAAAACAAAGTGTTGTTGTTGTTGTTGTTGTTGGTGTTGTAGTAAGTCTAACATATATAAGGCTGTGGTAGAATTACATAACATAATAACTATGCATTACACCTTGCATTTATTTGAAAATATATACTTTCTTCTTATTTATTGTTAGCCAAAGGGATTACATCCCGAATCTGACAGAAAAGAAAAGGAAGATTCCATGGATATGATCAAATATACCCATCAGCAGTTGGTTGACATGGGTGTTGAGCAAGAAAAGGAAAATGTAAGTTATCTGGTCACAGATGGCATTTTTCAACACCTACTATGTGGTTGGTCTCATTGTAGAGTGCTTTCCTCATGTGTTTTGAAGGATGTATTTATATATATTAAAGAAATAACTTTAAAGTTCCCATGGGAAAACAAGAATGCTAAAAGTTCCCATGGGAATTTGACTTTTCCTATGGCAACAATTTATCTTCCCATGGGAACAATTTTCTTTTCATGGGAACAATTTGACCATAATGACCATATCTATTAAATTTTCAATATCACAAAGACCATAACTCCTGAACGGTAAAAGTGTCAATCATCAATATTGAACTTGACCTCCATTTTGTCATCAGATTTAAAATAAACAGATTAGGGGACGACCATTTGATATTCTGGGGGGGCCAGGAGGATTTGTTTTGGATCGGTTATTTATTTTTGTAAACTAAGAGGACAGATTATCTATTTTCTGCACTATTGAAGCAAGATTTTTCATTTTCATTAAAGCAAGGGACTGAATATTTATTTTCACAACTATATTTATAATATTCGAAAACATACAATTTTTAAATTATTTGTTTATCAAAAATAATTCATGTATAGTCAAGTCATTATGTACCATTTAATCAGAATTAATTATTATCCTCTGCAGAAATGAATCTTCTATATTCCCCAATGCATATACATGTATTGCATACATACACAGTATTAAAGTTTGGTTGTAACTAAGGCTCTTTTAAAAGTATTGGCAAACATGTTTCGCCGAGCGGAGCGAGGCAAAATTTTTTTTGAAGGGTTTTTGAACCGCTGAAGGCCCAAGAAGCTATAGATAGATTCAGTGTAAGACTTAAGTTTCTAGGAACAACATCAACAGACAAATATGCATGATAAAGCAAAAATGTAATTCACATAGTTAAGTCTGTGGCTGGTGTGTTTTTTTAAACTCATGATCAAGTTAATAATAAAATTACTAAATTACAAAATGAATGCAACACTAACAGAATACAGAAGGGCAATCAATGAACAAAAGACAAATAAATAAGAAACATTGATCCCGAAAAATCAGGGGCTACGTCTGAGGGAGAACAGAACTTGCTTCTTGCAAGGCACTCACGGTGAACACAATTTGATATGGAGACAAGCGTTTGGTTTTGAAATTTCCTACATGAGGCATTTGTCTCAATGTAGTTACGGCCCTGATTTAATAAAAGTGAGGTAAGTGTTCCTGAGACAATTAACCTCAAGTTAAATGAAACCAATTTTCTGACATTTCAAGTATATTTAAATAATATTTATACTTTTATTATTAAAAGATATGGGAAGTGTTTCCCGATTTTTTTTTTGGAAAAAAAATGAATTTATGAAGAATCTGGTGCCATCTCATACTTTCGATTGCAGAAATATGTGCAATCAAGGCCCAAGCTGACATGCCATCTATCAAGTTTTATTAACTATCTCTTCATTTGCTTTGTGCATCTGTTTTCCGAAAATTCCCAAAAAGACTTGTTCGTTAAGATTTTACAATTAGAGGTAATTAACTGTCATAGTGGGTCTGTCTTAAGGTCAACTAATCCTGTAGCAGAGGGTCTAAAAGGGTGGATGGGAGTGCAGAAACAATTGTGAACAAAAGTGAAAATAAATGTTCATGCTGCAAATAAAAATAAGCATGCATAACAATAGATGAGGGGCCTGATGGGGGGGGGGGGGGGTCTCATCACGATTCACGAGTTGATTTTTTTTGTCAATCAGGATTCACAGAAAATAAATTTCCATGATCACGGATCACGAAAATATAAAAAAAAAATCTGTAGAAAAATGGATCACGATAGCAAAAATGCGCCGATCACGAAGAAAGAAAATAACCCATCAGGCCCCTCATAGATAAACAGGAATATTTAAACAGGGAAAAAATTCTCCAATCTAAATCAATTATTTAACTAATCAATTTTGTTGATTTTAGCCGATACCAAAGAGAGGAACATAATTGAAACCGCTATAAAGGAATTGGCAAGGAAGACCTGTATACAGCTGGTTCCTAAAGGCAGTATTGAAGCACAGGGTCTCAGTCATACCACTTATATAGAATTTATTGATTCATAGTAATACTAGTAGCACAGTTTTACTGTAATTTCAGAAATTATTGTGTGCATTTATTATTGCCATTTTTGAAGAATGAAATAATATGCGAGGATAATTATTGTGAATTCAGGAAAATCTGCATACAGATATATGAAGGTCTGGATGGGGTCCTTCATTTCTGTATTCTTTAATTTTTAGGGTCAGTTTAATTCTCTATTCTTTAAATTTTCATGATTTTAGCACCTCATTATTCTTTATTCTCTATTTTTTGGTCCATTTTTCTCTATTCTTTATATTGTAGCACCTCATTATTCTCTGTTCTCTATTTTTTTTCGTCCATTTTTATGGCCTCGCAACAAAGTTGTCGGGGCCATATAGTTTTACCATTGTCTGTCATTCCGTCATTCTGTCATTCCGTCATTCTGACATTCCATCATTCTGTCATTCCGTCATTCCGTCATTCCGCAACAAACCATTATACAGACTTTTTTTCTAAATGCCTTCTGATATTGGGCTGATTTTTGATATGTGAGTTAACCATGATGAGTTACAGATCAAGTTTAAGTTTCGTTCCGCTCTTCTAATTTTTACCGAAATTACAGGCTTTGGACTTTGATAAATTTTTGAAAATCAGTTATACGGACTTTTTATCTAAACGCCTTTAAATATTGGGCTGATTTTCGGGATGTGAGTTAACCATAATGAGTTACAGATCAAGTTCAAGTTTCGCTATGCTAATTTTTACCGAAATTACAGGCTTTGGACTTTGATAAATTGTTGAAAATCATAGTTATATGGATTTTTTTTCTAAACACCTTCCGATATTGGGTTGATTTTTGGTATGTGAGTTAACCATGAAGTGTTACAGATCTAGTTTAAGTTTCGTTCTGCTCTGCTGATTTTTGCCGTAATTATGGGTTTTATACTTTGGAAACTGTTGAAAATCACAGTTATACGGACTTTTTTTCTATACGCCTTCAGATTTTGCGCTGATTTTTTATATGTGAGTCTACCATGATGAGTAACAGATGAGGTTTATGTGTTGTTCTGATATGCTGATTTTCATGTCGTTTCAATACATCTTCAGTACATCCACTTCCTGTTTGCTGATAGTTTGAAATTTAACTACTCATTGATCAAGGAAATTTTTCATCAAACTAGTATTGGTCTTGAGAGCTGGATACTATCCATGCATTGTTTGTGTCCACATGTGTTATTGAAATTGCAGATTTTAAAACTTTTTGAGACGGGGCCATTCGTGTCGTTCCGACACATCTAGTTCTCTATTCTTTATATTTTAGCACCTCATTACTGTAAACAGGGAAATTTTCACGGTAAAAAATTGAAACGCGAAAATAAAATGACCGCGAACATTTCAAGGAAACTCTATTCATAAAATGAAAACCATACATGTACGTATATGAATAGGATATGTAGAGGACCACTGTATAACACGGATTTTACAGACGACAGATCGACACCTCCAGTGATCTCCTCAGGCTGTTTTAGGGTCGCGGCACCGCAACGCTATAATTTTTTTCCGTAACGCTATAATAATTTCCATGACGCTATAATTATTTTGAGGATGCTATTTTTTCTTGTCTCTATTATCTAGATACATTGCCGCAAAATTTTTGAGCTTTCATCTAATTACCGCTTGTGATCATAAAAATTATACAATCTTTAATTGTTATCCCTTCCAGTCGGACAATAGAGGCAATTAAGAATGTTTAAATAGGTGTTAATTGCCCTTTGAGGTCCTCAAATCATAACTGTATTTCTAAATGAAAAGCAATGTTTAAAATCATGAATTTAACTCAAGTTAATCTCATTAACATGGAAGCCATCTCAAGCAAGTGGACATTACGGATATTGTTATGTAAATAACACTCGTTACAAATATGTAAATGACACATGTCAATCAGTTTTAAAAGTATTACCTCGTTGAATCAGCTACACAGATTAATCAGATCAAAAGATTGATTAATTAGCATTAATCCTGACAGCATTTTATTTTAAATCACTCTTAATTAGGTATTCTTTTCTCTTATTGTGTATGTATTTTTACAAGCAAACATGATACAACTTTTAACATTAATGAACCGAAAACAAAAGATTTCTGATTGATTTTATCACTTGATTTACTATACATGTAAAGCTGTTCACTTTCTATATCCTTTATGAAAATATTTTATTTTATATAGGCCACAGGGAAATCGCGAAATCAAATGGGGCGAATTTAGATTGTGTTCATTAAACGCAAAATTCTCTTTTCTCTATTTTTTGGTCCATTTTTCTCTATTCTTTATATTTTAGCACCTCATTTTTCTCTGTTCTCTATTTTTTGGTCCATTTTTCTCTATTCTTTATATTTTAGCAGCTCATTATTCTCTATTCTCTATTTTTTGGTCCATTTTTCTCTATTCTCTATATTTTAGAACCTCATTATTCTCTATTCTTTATTTTTTGGTCCATTTTTCTCTATTCTTTATATTTTAGCATTCTCTGTTCTTTATTTTTTGGTCCATTTTTCTCTATTCTTTATATTTTTGCCCATTATTCTCTATTCTGTTAATTCCCATCCAGACCCTCATCTAATTGTATTGGATTCAGAATGCAAATTCTTCTTTATATTGCAATACTCACCCAGTCGCACTGATAAAAACTTCATTATAGTTTCTGAATTTACAATATTCAAAATACCATTGGAAATTTTTAATATTTATTGAAAGAGAGGCGGGGGATACCAAAGGGACATTCAAACTCATAAGACAAAAATAAACTGACAACAACATGGCTAAAAAAGAAATGCTGACAAACAGACAAACAACAGTACTCAAAACAACATAGAAAACCAAAGACTGAGCAACACGAATCCCCACTAAAAACGGGGGCTGATCTCAGGTGCTAAGGAAGGGTAAGCAGATCCTGCTCCAAATGTGGCAACCGTCGTGATAAACCAACATCTGATACATGTATCAGTGTGTGGTGTAACTGTGAATACTTTCCCGCAACTCTATCCTTTTGGAGCAAATACACTTGTGTAAAATGAGCTGACATATTTTCCATAGGGTTTCTTTCTGACAGAATATACATGTACATACTAGTCACAGTGAACTCAAAAGTTAAGAGGCAGTTACATATCTATATGTATACAGGTTTCACCAACAATTGGCTGGCCATTTGTGTTTTCACATAGTTTATTTTTTTTGGATAAATTGTACTAATACTTTATGTCTGTCAGTCCTTTGGTCCATAAAATTTGAACAAATTTTCTCTGACAGGAACTACAAGTTGGATTGTCCTTTAAATTTGGTATCAACCTTTATCTGTGCATTAATTCATACTGTTTGATGCATTTGTACATCATCACTCATTAACTTCCTACTTTGAATGAATAATTTAAGCAGAGGTATTTATAAACAATTACCTTCATACAAGTAGGAGGTTTAGCTAGCTATATTAAACCAGGTTTATCCCACCATTTTCTCCGGACAGTGCATGTTCCAAGTCAGGAATATGACAGTTGTTTTGCATTTGTTCCATTGGTTGATAAAGTCTGGCGTTTGATTTTGTCAGTTTTTCTGAATTTACTTGGATTCATTATTTTTGTTATACTTTTTTATCATTACTGAAAATAGCTTGAAGTTTAACTTATTTTTTAGCGGATGTTGGTCCTATATCGGAAGAATAAGTGGGGGTTACCAACATATCAGTTTAATGAAGTCATATTGTGTGCATGTAAGTTCTAAATTTTTTGTATTTAATTATTATTTTTGCTGAAGGTAAACATAAAAACCATGACTTAGACATTCAGAATTTTTATACAACCGCAAAATTTTTTTTGTGTTCGTATAATGCTATGATGTCATCATCAGCGTTGTCATGGTCATAACTTGTGTGTAAGTGTATGCATGGATCTCTGAAATTGTACCACAAGGTTCCATATCACAAAGGGAAGGCTGGGATTGAGTTTGGGGGTAATTGCCAAACATTCAGGAATTAGGGGCAAACAAGTGGCCAAAAACAAGCATTTTTAACTGGATTTTTGAAGGAAAATGGGTTATTATACCCCGGCTTTAAAAAAGTGGGGGGTATACTGCTTTACCTCTGTCTGTCCATCCGTCAGTCCATCCATCAGTCCATCCATCCATCCGTCAGAACATCTGTCAGTCCGTCCTTCCGTCCCATGAATATTTTTCGTCGCATTTTTCTCAGGAACTACAATACAAGGATTTCTGAAATTTGGTTTCAGGGTTTATATAAGTCAGCTATACCGTGTGATGCGTTTTCAGATTCATCACTCAACAACTTCCTGTTTACCGAACACTTGTTTCATTTTACACATGATAGCCAAGTTTAAAATTTTCGTCACATTTTTCTCAGGAACTACAATACAAGGATTTCTGAAATTTGGTTTTAGGGTTTATATAAGTCAGCTATACCGTGTGATGCGTTTTCAGATTCATCACTCAACAACTTCCTGTTTACAGAAATATTTGGGCGTGGGTTTCATCAGTGAGCAGTAGCTCACAGTTTTATTTGTTGTTTTGGGGATGAACGGTGGGCGGATGACCGGTTTTGGTTGCCAAACAGTGTCCGTTCATTAACATGAAAATGCTTTGAGGAAATTTTTTCAAATTTAGATATGTTGTTTCCTGTGACTAAAGGAAGGTCAAGTTTAATTTTCACGAATGTAGCTTTTCTCGTTGTTGAGTTATAGCCCTTTCCCAAGAATTCAATTTTTGATGAATTATTCCATTTCTGTACAAAGGGAAATAACTGATTTTTTAAAAGATTTTTAAAAGACATTGTATTAATGATAAATGACATTTTGGATTATTTTTCTTTTCTTTGGTAAATTGTTTGAAGAATTTTGTGGTAGGTTTGTTTGTTATTCTGTATAAACTAATTTTCTGAATGCTATATATATAATTTTTTTTTGATGAAGTAAACTCCTTTAATTAGATAATAATCTATTTTTATTAAAGGATATATTCCATTAGATAAAGTTGTTGACATTGATAGATAAGTTTCAGATCTGTATTAGTTTGTGACAAATGAAAGAAAAAATATTTGGAACTATTAATTATATTTGATTATAATTTGAAAATAGATATACATTGTGTAACATCATATCTAATTTTAGAGAAATATGTTTGCTTTATTAGTTTAACCATATTTCTGTTCAAAGGGAAACAACTCAAACTTATTCCATGAACCAGTAATGATAAATTAGGTATATGGATTCTGTTCAATTATTTTTAGTCATTAGTTGTCAAAAATCTTTATAACTATTTTCTTTAAGTCATGTGTGTTATGAAGGTAGATGTCACAGTTGTTATGTGGTATTTTATTTTTATACGCCCGTCAAATTTTGACGGGACGTATTATGGTATACAATTGTCGTCTGTCCGTCTGTCTGTCTGTCTGTCCGGCGTAAACATGTTGCACCGTAATTTGAGAACGACTTGTCCAAATTTCATGAAACTTAACACAGTGTTTTCTTATGATGGTCAAACGATCTGTATACTTTTTGGTGAAAATAACGTTAAAACTTTTTGAGTTACGGTACTTAGTAACTAAAACAGGTGTGTGTTTTTTTTCACATGTCGCGCCGTATCTCAAAAACAATTTATGATTATTGCTTAAAACTTTACACACTTCTTAGTTAAATTAATCTTAAGATCTGTATACTTTTTGGTGATGATTCAAAATTTTATTTTAGAGATATTGAGTATTTTGTTAAAAAAGGGGGAGGGGTTTTTCACATGTCGCACCGTATCTCAAAAACAGTTTATGATTATTGCTTAAAACTTTACACACTTCTTAGTTATATTAGTCTTAAGATCTGTATACTTTTTGGTGATGATTCAAAATTTTATTTTTTAGTTATTGAGTATTTTGTAAAAAAAGGGGGAGGGGTTTTTCACGTCGCGCCGTATCTCAAAAACGATTTATGATTATTGCTTAAAATTTTACACACTTCTTAGTTATATTAATCTAAAGATCTGTATACTTTTTGGTTTTGATTCAAAATGTTATTTTAGAGATATTGATTTTTTTGTAAAAAAAAGGGGGTTTTCGCATGTCATGCCTTATGTCAGAAACTATTTATGATTATTGCATAAAAATCATACACAAGACGATGGGTGTATCATGTGCTCATGGCGCAGCTGTTTATTGTTGTGTGTGATAAAGTTTAATTTTTACATGATCCTGTTTGGGGTTCAGATTTGCAAATATCATTTTCATTATTAATTAGATAATAATCTAATTTAAATATTCAATCACAATCCAAATTCACAGCTGTTTCAATCTTAAATATTGTGTCCATACTTGCTCAACTGTTCAGGGTTCGACCTCTGCAAGAAAATCCGGTTTGCTGTCACTTGACAGCCTCTTGTTCTAGTTTGTGGATTGATCTCTCTAAAATTTTACTACAAGGAAGGCTGGGATTGAGTTTGGGGGTAATTACTCCAAGGGGGGGGGGGGGGGGGGGGGGTCAAAAAGTTTGGAGGGGAATTTTGTTTGGGGGGTTCATATTTTTTTTCTTCAAAATTTTTGAAATTTCAAATTTTTTGAAAAGATTCAAGAAGAAATCTTCAATTGCACAGTATTGCCTAATAGCACAGTATTGTGCAATAGCAAGAAATCTTCAATTGCACAGTATTGCACAACAGCATAGTATTGCGCAATAGGACAGTATTGCGCAATATCACAGTATTGCGCAATAGCAAGAAATCTGCAATTGCACAGTATTGTGCAATAGCACAGTATTGTACAACAGCACAGTATTGTACAACAGCACAGTATTGGCCAATAGCACAGTATTGCTCAATATCACAGTATTGCACAATAGCAAGAAATCTTCAATTGCACAGTATTGCGCAATAGCAAGAAATCTTCAATTGCACAGTATTGCGTAATAACACAGTATTTCACAATAGCAAGAAATCTTCAATTGAAAATAAATGCAAATCTATTAACCAATTTCAATGGGATTAATTTACAGTCTTTAATTTTTGGGGGTTCTTACCTTGTATTACTATTTTGGATATTGGGCCCCATTTTTAAATTGGTCTACATTGAGGTCAAAAGGGTCCAAAATTAAACTTTGTTTGATTTCGTCAAAAACTGAATTATTGTGGCTGTATGATATGCTGAATCTTATTGTGCATTTAGATTTTTTATTTTGGGCCCTGTTTTCAAATTAGTCGATATTAAGGTTTGAAGGGTCCAAAATTAAACTTTGTTTGATTTCAACTAAAATTAAATTTTTGGTGTTTTTTATATATATGCTGAATCTAACAATGTTGTTAGATTTTGGATATCAGACCATTCTAGGTAAATTAAATGTCCATTTCAAATTTTTAAGATCTTTGACCACATTTATTTTGTATCAGAAACCTATATTATGTCAAAAATTTGACCACAATCCAAATTCAGACAATATCAAGCTTGAATATTGTGTCCAAACTTGCCCCAACTGTTCAGGGTTCGACCTCTGCGGTCTTATCAGGCTGTACTCAGTGAAGCATTTTATTTACTTATACAAGTAAAAAAGTCATATTTTTTCTTCTTTTCTTGAATTTTTCTTGACTACTTTTCTCTAATAGAGTGCTTAATTGTCTGTCCTTTGCAGATGTCTACTAATTATATAAATGTAATTTCATGGACAATGCTCATTTACAAGCCCCCCAAGGGCAATTTTTGAAGGCCTTGCACAGTTACTTAACATCTTTGTGCAAATGATTTCTTTGTTGAAATAGTGAGATGAAAGGCTGAACTCTAATTAAAAATTATCAACAAACCAGAGATAAATAGTTTTAGGCATGTTTTACCTCCTAAAACTTGAAATTTTTACGGGTTGTCATTTAAAATTACTTGTATAAGTAAATTTTTAGAGAAGATTAAGGGGAGATTATTCAAAGCTTGAAAAGAAAATATATATCTTACAAATGACTTATACAAGCATATAATTATTACTTACATGTTCAAGTAAATAAAAATGACTTGTATAAGTATTACCCCTGTCTGACAAAATATTTTTTAGTCATGTTAGTCATGAATTATTCTAGTTTTTATTGTTGGACAATTGTCATTGATGAAAATGCACATATATTAAGATCCAGGTGAGAAACACTCATGAGGCTCTATAGAGCCTTTGTTTTGGAGGAGTCAGTTGTTGACAGTTGATGTGGTCTTTGTGCAGTGCAGTATTTTTTCGTGATTCCTGTTATTTCTATTTATGGCCTCAAGTGTTACAGCTACTGTATTGATTAACACAAGATATACGTAGAAAAGAATGTTTAGTCAATATCAGCTAATAATGAGTTGGTATATATTTTTCTTAGCTCCTGTATTCAATTAACACAAAATATAAGAAAAGAATTTTTAGTCAATATCTAATAACGAGTTGGTATATATTTTTCTTAGCTCCTGAATTAATTAACACATGAAAGAAGAAAAAATATTTTCATCAATATATAATAATGAGTTGGTATATATATTTTTCTTAGCTCCTGTATTAATTAACACATGATATAAGAAAAGAATTTTTAGTCAATATATAATAATGAGACGAGTTGGTATATATTTTTCTTAGCTCCTGTATTAATTAACACATGATATAAGAAAAGAATTTTTAGTCAATATTTAATAATGAGTTGGTATATATTTTTCTTAGCTCCTGAATTAATTAACACATGATATAAGAAAAGAATTTTTAGTCAATATATAATAATGAGACGAGTTGGTATATATTTTTCTTAGCTCCTGTATTAATTAACACATGATATAAGAAAAGAATTTTTAGTCAATATATAATAATGAGACGAGTTGGTATATATTTTTCTTAGCTCCTGTATTAATTAACACATGATATAAGAAAAGAATTTTTAGTCAATATATAATAATGAGACGAGTTGGTATATATTTTTCTTAGCTCCTGTATTAATTAACACATGATATAAGAAAAGAATTTTTAGTCAATATATAATAATGAGACGAGTTGGTATATATTTTTCTTAGCTCCTGTATTAATTAACACATGATATAAGAAAAGAATTTTTAGTCAATATATAATAATGAGACGAGTTGGTATATATTTTTCTTAGCTCCTGTATTAATTAACACATGATATAAGAAAAGAATTTTTAGTCAATATATAATAATGAGACGAGTTGGTATATATTTTTCTTAGCTCCTGTATTAATTAACACATGATATAAGAAAAGAATTTTTAGTCAATATATAATAATAAGACGAGTTGGTATATATTTTTTTTAGCTCCTGTATTAATTAACACATGATATAAGAAAAGAATTTTTAGTCAATATATAATAATAAGACGAGTTGGTATATATTTTTCTTAGCTCCTGTATTAATTAACACATGATATAAGAAAAGAATTTTTAGTCAATATATAATAATAAGACGAGTTGGTATATATTTTTCTTAGCTCCTGTATTAATTAACACATGATATAAGAAAAGAATTTTTAGTCAATATATAATAATAAGACGAGTTGGTATATATTTTTCTTAGCTCCTGTATTAATTAACACATGATATAAGAAAAGAATTTTTAGTCAATATATAATAATGAGTTGGTATATATTTTTCTTGTCTTGTTTACACTACTGTGGATTAATTTTTTTTCATGGATACCCATTTGAATGGATTTAGTGCATGCTATAGAATCTCTGTTGTTTTATACAGCACTCCATGGTCCAACATGAGATCATGCATGCTATAGAATCTCTGTTGTTTTATACAGCACTCCATGGTCCAACATTTGATGATGCATGCTATAGAATTTCTATTGTTTTATACAGCACTCCATGGTCCAATATTTGATCATGCTTGCTATAGAATCTCTATTGTTTTATTCAGCACTCCATTGTCCAACATGAGATCATGCATGCTATAGAATCTCTATTGTTCTATACAGTACTCCACTGTCTGTTACATGAAACCATGCATGCTATAGAATCTCTATTGTTTTATACAGCACTCCACGGTCCAACATGAAAATCATGCATGCTATAGAATCTCTATTGTTTTATACAGCACTCCACGGTCCAACATGAGATCATGCATGCTATAGAATCTCTACTGTTTTATACAGCACTCCATGGTCCAACATGAAATCATGCATGCTATAGAATGTCTTGTTATATACAGCACTCCATGGTCCAACATGAAATAATGCATGCTATAGATTTTCTTATGTTTTATACAGCACTCTATGGTCCAACATGAGATCATGCATGCTATATAGAATCTCTATTGTTTTATACAGCACTCCACAGTCCAACATGAGATCATGCATGCTATAGGGATGTGGCATGAACAGAACCGCTTAGACAGAGATAATTATATCAGAATTTTGAAGGAAAATGTACAAGAAATAGGGGAACACAATTTTGACAAACGTAATACCTCTGATACTCGACCTTATGATGCAGAATCTAATCTGCAGTATAGCCTGTATGTAAGTATACTTAAAGAATTTTTCTTTAACTTTGAATCGATTTTCAGGTTGTCTGCATATTTTATATCTGTAAAATATCAGCTGCAAATCACAATATGAAGCTTTTTATCTTGTGTGCACATTGAATGAGTTCAAAAAGGCTTCATATTGTGTCGAGCAGCTGATATTTTACAATATAAATAGGCAGACAACCATATAATCAATTTATCTGGGTTGTATTTGTGTATTTTGCATGATAGAAACAAGTGTTTTCTTAATTGTATCACCAGAAAACCAGAAGATGACTTGATAAGTTCAGGTCAAACTTATCAACGTTGTTTCATACATTATGACTTCGCTGATATGTCTGGGTCAAGTTATTAAGGCTGGGTCAACATATTTGACTTCACAAAGCCGTGATATGCAATTTTATTAAGAGCTGAGCAGAGTGATACAGTCAGTGGGACGACCGATAAATATGGCAATTACAAAGTTTGGGGAGTAGATAAGAATTGAATTGTCTGTCTGACCATCTTCCTTATCCTTTGTTTGATTCACCTTCACATGAAACTTGGTCTAGTACATGATTTTCCAATTAATAGATATAAGAAGATGTGGTATGAGTGCAAATGAGACAACTCTCCATCCAAGTAAAAATTTATAAAAGTAAACAATTATAGGTCAAGGTACGGTCTTCAACACGGAGACTTGGCTCACACCGAACAGCAAGCTATAAAGGGCCCCAAAAATTACTAGTGTAAAACCATTCAAACGGGAAAACCAACAGTCTAATCTATATAAAAACAAGAAACGAGAAACACTTATGAACCACATCAACAAATGACAACTACTGAACATCAGATTCCTGACTTAGGACAGGTGCAAACAATTGCAGCGGGTTTAAACGTTTTAATGGTACCAAACCTTCACCCTTTTTCTGAAACAATAGTGTAACATCACAACATAGAAAGACACACTATAAAATATCAACTGAAATGGCTTAACTCAATCAAAGGACATATTAACACCAGTGAACATACACTGAACAAAAAAATTTGACCTATGATCCAATGTAAATACAAAATAAATAAACTAAGGGAAGAATAATAAAAGTAACATGTTATACTGCTATGAAATGTTAAACAGTTTAAGAAACACAATAAATTTGACATCACAATGTTCTACGACTTTTTTCTAGGTCAATTGGGGCAGTTCATTCAGAAAACTAAAATTAGAAATCTTCTACTATTAGATCCTAATATACAAATCTGCATGTTGGTAGGATGTGTCAGTTTTATGTGAATTTTTGTAGAGTAATGCCCCTTTCAACACAGAAATTTGGCCCTCCCCAGCTCCTGATATCCTGTCATCATAACCCCTCAAAGATGGTTCGTTATTATTTTATCTATATATATATATATATATATATATATATACAAGTCTAAATTGAAAACAACGTTCAAACCTATGATTGCGTTGGATAAAAACCGCAATTTTTATACGTGTGCATGCACAACAAATTTCTTTGAAGAGGGGTCTAGATACAGCACAAACAACATTTTCCAAAAGACCAAATGAGTGAAAAAGTATATTTTAACAAAACGCATTTGACTAGCAGGTCGAACAACTGATGTTCTTAAACCCTGGTGACTGCCATTGGCGATTGCCAAATAAACGGATCACAAGATGTAACAAAATAGATCTTATAAATAATTTATTACCAAACAGAAAACAATAAACTTGCAGATAAGATGGTATACCGCAAACATGAGGTGCAAAAATGTGTACACCATATCCGGATTTCGACAATTAATGTCTCTTCAGTGATGTTAGGAATCGAAACGGTATTTGGAAGGCCATATAATTTACCTCAATTTGGGATTGACTCTTGAATTTTGAAAAGTCAAAATAGGATGAACGGATCATATAAACCCGAAGGCAAATATAATACAAGCCCAAACGAAAAAATATAAACAAGTCTAAATTGAAAACAACGTTCAAACCTATGATTGCGTTGGATAAAAACCGCAATTTTTATACGTGTGCATGCAAAACAAATTTCTTTGAAGAGGGGTCTAAATACAGCACAAACAACATTTTCCAAAAGACCAAATGAGTGAAAAAGTATATTTTAACAAAACGCATTTGACTAGCTGGTCGAACAACTGATGTTCTTAAACCCTGCTGACTGCCATTGGCGATTGCCAAATAAACGGATCACAAGATGTAACAAAATAGATCTTATAAATAATTTATTACCAAACAGAAAACAATAAACTTGCGGATAAGATGGTATACCGCAAACATGAGGTGCAAAAATGTGTACACCATATCCGGATTTCGACAATTAATGTCTCTTCAGTGATGTTAGGAATCGAAACGGTATTTGGAAGGCCATATAATTTACCTCAATTTGGGATTGACTCTTGAATTTTGAAAAGTCAAAATAGGATGAACGGATCATATAAACCCGAAGGCAAATATAATACAAGCCCAAACGAAAAAATATAAACAAGTCTAAATTGAAAACAACGTTCAAACCTATGATTGCGTTGGATAAAAACCGCAATTTTTATACGTGTGCATGCAAAACAAATTTCTTTGAAGAGGGGTCTAGATACAGCACAAACAACATTTTCCAAAAGACCAAATGAGTGAAAAAGTATATTTTAACAAAACGCATTTGACTAGCAGGTCGAACAACTGATGTTCTTAAACCCTGCTGACTGCCATTGGCGATTGCCAAATAAACGGATCACAAGATGTAACAAAATAGATCTTATAAATAATTTATTACCAAACAGAAAACAATAAACTTGCGGATAAGATGGTATACCGCAAACATGAGGTGCAAAAATGTGTACACCATATCCGGATTTCGACAATTAATGTCTCTTCAGTGATGTTAGGAATCGAAACGGTATTTGGAAGGCCATATAATTTACCTCAATTTGGGATTGACTCTTGAATTTTGAAAAGTCAAAATAGGATGAACGGATCATATAAACCCGAAGGCAAATATAATACAAGCCCAAACGAAAAAATATAAACAAGTCTAAATTGAAAACAACGTTCAAACCTATGATTGCGTTGGATAAAAACCGCAATTTTTATACGTGTGCATGCAAAACAAATTTCTTTGAAGAGGGGTCTAAATACAGCACAAACAACATTTTCCAAAAGACCAAATGAGTGAAAAAGTATATTTTAACAAAACGCATTTGACTAGCAGGTCGAACAACTGATGTTCTTAAACCCTGCTGACTGCCATTGGCGATTGCCAAATAAACGGATCACAAGATGTAACAAAATAGATCTTATAAATAATTTATTACCAAACAGAAAACAATAAACTTGCGGATAAGATGGTATACCGCAAACATGAGGTGCAAAAATGTGTACACCATATGCGGATTTCCACAATTAATGTCTCTTCAGTGATGTTAGGAATCGAAACGGTATTTGGAAGGCCATATAATTTACCTCAATTTGGGATTGACTCTTGAATTTTGAAAAGTCAAAATAGGATGAACGGATCATATAAACCCGAAGGCAAATATAATACAAGCCCAAACGAAAAAATATAAACAAGTCTAAATTGAAAACAACGTTCAAACCTATGATTGTGTTGGATAAAAACCGCAATTTTTATACGTGTGCATGCAAAACAAATTTCTTTGAAGAGGGGTCTAAATACAGCACAAACAACATTTTCCAAAAGACCAAATGAGTGAAAAAGTATATTTTAACAAAACGCATTTGACTAGCAGGTCGAACAACTGATGTTCTTAAACCCTGCTGACTGCCATTGGCGATTGCCAAATAAACGGATAACAAGATGTAACAAAATAGATCTTATAAATAATTTATTACCAAACAGAAAACAATAAACTTGCGGATAAGATGGTATACCGCAAACATGAGGTGCAAAAATGTGTACACCATATGCGGATTTCCACAATTAATGTCTCTTCAGTGATGTTAGGAATCGAAACGGTATTTGGAAGGCCATATAATTTACCTCAATTTGGGATTGACTCTTGAATTTTGAAAAGTCAAAATAGGATGAACGGATCATATAAACCCGAAGGCAAATATAATACAAGCCCAAACGAAAAAATATATACAAGTCTAAATTGAAAACAACGTTCAAACCTATGATTGCGTTGGATAAAAACCGCAATTTTTATACGTGTGCATGCAAAACAAATTTCTTTGAAGAGGGGTCTAAATACAGCACAAACAACATTTTCCAAAAGACCAAATGAGTGAAAAAGTATATTTTAACAAAACGCATTTGACTAGCAGGTCGAACAACTGATGTTCTTAAACCCTGCTGACTGCCATTGGCGATTGCCAAATAAACGGATCACAAGATGTAACAAAATAGATCTTATGAATAATTTATTACCAAACAGAAAACAATAAACTTGCGGATAAGATGGTATACCGCAAACATGAGGTGCAAAAATGTGTACACCATATGCGGATTTCGACAATTAATGTCTCTTCAGTGATGTTAGGAATCGAAACGGTATTTGGAAGGCCATATAATTTACCTCAATTTGGGATTGACTCTTGAATTTTGAAAAGTCAAAATAGGATGAACGGATCATATAAACCCGAAGGCAAATATAATACAAGCCCAAACGAAAAAATATAAACAAGTCTAAATTGAAAATAACGTTCAAACCTATGATTGCGTTGGATAAAAACCGCAATTTTTATACGTGTGCATGCAAAACAAATTTCTTTGAAGAGGGTATATATATATATGAATGAGGCTAAGTGTATTGCGAGATCCTGATATGGAACTCCAACTTTAAGACTTATCATATCTACATGGAAGTTGGTACATTGTTTGATATAAATAGGCAGATGTGCTGGTGTAAAGGATATTCCACCTAACGGTATGTTATTTTTGTAGAATAATGTCCCTTTCAACATAGACCAACTCCTACCTTGTCATCAGAACCCCTCAAAGATGGTTCGTTATTATTTTATATATGCAGGAGACTAAGTGTATAAATGTCAGTTCCTGATATGCTGAGACCACATTGAATAAAACACTACTGTGAATTCATTAATTTTTGTGGATACCTGAATTTTCATGGATTGAGGAAAAATTGCATTTTTCGATGTGGATATTTTATTTAGTGGTGTTTTCCAAAGTCATCATAAAAGCCTCAAGAAAATTTGACTTTATTGGACTTTTGAATAATGGTTTATCTATTCTCACGAAATCCATGAGGCTTGGTATACTACGAATAATAAATGAATATGAAAAAAGTTCGAATTTAGATTATCATCTTCTTTTATTCCCGGTATATCTGTCGTTAGCTTACTCAAAGGTCAATATTTAGGATGCTTGGGTATTATTCCAACTCTTACAACAAATCTTATTTAATTCTAATGCTTTTTTAGGCATATGGGAAAAAAATTGGAAATAGACAAGCCAAAACTATAGAATTTATTGACAAAGACCTTGAATTTCTAGCTGACCTAGATGCTGGACTGGATTTCTATGACGTAGCAGAAATCACTGATGCGTATCAATGTGCAGGTATATTTCATATTAAGTTAGTAGACTTGAGTTAAGGATGCTTCGTTAAAGAATTTTTCTATTTTCCCATTTTCCCATTTTATCATTTTATCGTTTTTTCAGTAGGAGTCTTTGTTTAAATGAACTCTGAAGGAAATGTCAAATTCCCTTACAAAATCATTTAACTCACAATATATTTAAGTTAAATTTTAACTTTTAGAAACAAAATGTGACTTTCCTATATCATAAGTTTATTTTTTTACCAAAACTTATTGAAATAAGAAAAACAAACTTTTCTTCATAAGGGGAGATAATTTTTCCTTTTTTTTGAAATAATTAACCAGATTTTAGTAAATTAATGAAAATATTCAAAATAATGCTACTAATGATTCATTTATTTAAGTAAATACCAATTTTTTAGTTAAGGAAAACATGTACTTTCATGGATATTTGTTTTAATGATTTTGCCAAAGTCTGCATACAAGCATAGAACATTTATACTTTGTTAAACATTACTTTGTGGTTCAAGTATACCCAAGGAATTAAGGAAAACTTAATTGTGTTTACCCTTTTATCTAGGTTTTAATGTCACAATAAACTGTAGATCACTTTTGACAAGACAATTTTTAGATGTAAATGATTGCCAGTGAGATTACTGAGTGTCCACCAGATACAAAATGACATAGAAGGTTAGCAACTATAGGTCACTGTACGTACTTCAACAATGAGCTAGCAAAACTCATACCAAATAACAAGCTATACAAGGCCCCTAAATGACAAATGTAAAACAATTCAAAAGAGAAAACTACAAAACAATAAATGAAAACGAATATCGTAAACAGCAACAAATGACAACCACTGAATTACAGGCTCCTGAATTTGGACAGACACATACAGAATGAAAAAGGGTTAAACATGTTATAGTGTGCCATCTCAACCAACTAACTCTTTTTTGTATCATATGGACAAACAGCCATAAATGACCCACACCATTGGGTCAAAAATAAAACTTCCAATCATACTCTCTTTTTTCCTTTTTAATGATATAGAATCTTGTGCAAAACAGTGTAGCCGAGACCATTGATTGGCGCGCTAAAATATCCCATTGACTAGGTCAGATTAGGTGAACGTTCGTCTGTAACGCCCACAACTCACGACGTATTTATTATAGACATTTAAACTGTGGGGTCACCAAAGGGTCTCAACGCCTAAATAAAATAATTCGAAAAACTAATCAGGAATAACCTTTGTGTTTTGATTTATATTGAATACTTAAACGTTCTTTACTTGTGTTTTTGTTATGTTTTGATAATGAATTTTTATGATATCGGACGTTCTTTCAGCAAAAAAGGATTTAACTGGCTTTAAAAGTTACAATGGATGTGTTGATTATTATCTTTTTTTCGGACGTCAAAGCGATTTAACAATTGCGGTTGTCCAATTATGTCATCTTTTAACTTTTATCTGGTCAAAATTTTATTTTAGAACGAATGCATGATCAACTTTAAAAAGTGTGCAAATGTAACAGTGGTTTGATTCCGCCAGTGTAATTTATCCGGAGGAAGAAAATCCCCAGTGATTTTTATCCACCAACGAAAATTCACTAGGTTTTTCTATCCGGGTCCAGTGTAAAACATCCACCAGTCATTATAAGGTTCTTAAAAAGTTTTTTTGAAGGGGAAATATATATAAAATGTGGCTTTATAGTTTTTAGTGTATTTGAAACTTGCATAGTTGATTTATGTAAAAAGTGGAGAGTTTTCATCTAAGGAATGTTCACACTGGTGTTTTAAACAAGGAATGATTACACTAGTGATTTTGTACCGGAATGATTGCACTAGTTATTTTATACCGGGTTTAATTACACTAGTGCTTTAGATCCATACATTAATTGCTGAAGCGATTAGTACTCATTTGAACACACGATAACACAATAATGCTTATCAACGAATAAGATTTAAATAATTTTTCTATGCAAATCTATAAAATCATAGCTTTTAAATTGTCACTAATTATAATATTTATATTTATTGGATTGCCGAAGTTTTCTGTGTATTTCCTTTTCGGTCGACTTGGATATAAAATCATATCTTCTATGTCAATATCAAAGGATGCTTCGATAATTGAAACTTTATGTAAGAACAAATCTGCTCTTTAAATTTGGTTTATATCAAGTTCAATGGCCTGATCATTGATACAGTATTTTGAGTTATAAAAACATCCTCCTCATCATCATCAATATTATTTACTAGATTGACTCAGATTAATTAAACTGGTTCCTTGAAAATCGTTTTAATTTTAACCCATTTATTTATGTAAACAATAAACCGGTTTAATATAAACTAAACAACGATATCAAGATCGACGCTTTCACACTATTTACATCCAATATTCTCTAGTGAAAAACAGTTACCCGGAATAAATACACGGCGGAATGAAAGTACGCTTACACAAACACAAAACATATAGACAAAATATACTTCTTTCCTGTCTTTTTCGTACTTGCAAGTTATAAGACAGTGAAAAGGCTATTTGGATCAAGCCTTGTGAAATTTGCATTTACGTTTTTGAATAGGTACACTGAAATGCAGTCAAGTTTAGCGATTGATAATTCATTGATAACATTCTGGCGTATCACAAACAAACAATTTGTAACGTCTCATTTCATTAGCCGAAAGATTTAAATACAACAACAATTGTAGTGTGCACGTGAATTGACACAGGTGACCGACAATGGAATGTACTATGTTACTACGAACGTAAAAAACAATGATTTTTGGTCGAAATAATTGAATAAGTATTTTGTGAATTTCAAATAGTGGGGTCGAAATATTATACTAATAATTTTTTGTTAAGTAATATTCTTTATGCATGCAGCTCTTGTACCGCACTATGAAAAATATAAGGATAAAATAAAATACATGTGCCGCTTTTATACGGATGAATGTATGAACCACTTTAATTTCTTTCATATTGACGCTAGGTTATTATCCTGACAATGTCATAAGGATCTCATAATACTGATCCATTTCAAATTTATGATGGGTTGCACATTCCTCTTTTATTGTTTTCATGCTATAAAACGAAAATAAAGTAGCTAAGCGTTTGGTCATTCAGAAATGACGTGTCATAAACGAGCAAATTGTCCCCGAAAGATCGTATCATGTGTGCACGTGAATATAGATGTACTATGCAATGTACTATTATGGTCACCACGAAATTCAAATGAATTCAGTGAAGGCATGTTTGTGTAAAAAGGTTTGAAATGTTTCATCGGCGAAGATTTTATTTTTGCATGTGTGGAACTAAAAAATAAATAAATACTTGTGAGAAATGTCGTAGTTTATAAGGAACTATATAAATGTACTGTTTTCGATTTTAATTGGTTGAAAATTTATCCTTTAATTTCATACCGTAAGAATAGAGCTTTGCATAACATTGTTGAACTATCCGCCAAAGTAACGTGTGGCATGCGTGCGTATTAAAATGAAATACATGTATGATAAACTTATAAACGAAATATTAAGAAATTAAGGATGACTACTGTAAAAGTATGTACAAAAATGGAGTCACCTTTTATCAATACATATAGTGAATAACCACACTGTTTAAAACTGATTGTTTTCTATGCAACTGTATATTTAAATAATTACAATATATAATTTTCAACCGAGGATAGCAAAACAGTTAATTATAAATTAAGAAAGTATATCGCTGGAGTTTATAAAGTACATTTCCTTCCACTGTGCCATGGTTTGCCATCTCCATTTTTTCTCTAAACAAAGCATGGCTGGTTACATGTTCTGAAATTACTTAGGGATTTTTTTTTCAAAATCAAGTAAACTAAATCAGAAAAACAATCACACTATCCTAAAACTTATGAAAGAATATGAATAATGAACATGACAGTTTATAACACAAACCCATTTACTATAAAAATCGAGCAATATCTTTAGTATGTAATTTGGTTATTTTTGTAGTTAAGTACGGTTTCATTTCAAGTACAACGTTAATTCATCAAGTCCATTAAATAAAAGATAAGGCAGGGTGAGCAACTTGACAAAAAAAAGGTAGGATGACGATTTATGTAAAAAAATCAGGATAAACTAATAAATATAGTCAGGACCTAACAGACTGAAAAATAGAAAGACAGGACAGAGATAACAACTAAAAAACATGCAGGACAAAATGTTTCATCCAAGTCCCCCACCCCCAATCAAAATAAAATGGTAGCTCCCTTAATCCAGAACCAATTGAGAGGAGACAGTTGAATTAAATATTTCGACGTGACTGTTAAGATTAAAGTTTAAAATTTTACATGCACATGTATAAAAGCTAGAATTGCCATGGGATAATCAAGAACACAATCATGTACGTGAATATGACGATGGAAGTTTTTAACGACCTTGACCGGCTACGTGAATACTGATCAGTCCATTCAGCTTTATAGTACGCGTGTTCTATTTTCGCAGGTGTGAGGTCGAAGGTTTGAATTGACCAATGAAAACGATCGTTCCTTAACGAGTAAATCTAATAAAGTTTGTTTGACTGATTATGTTGCACGACCTTTCGCTAAGCTTGGCCGCAGTTCAGTATAAAATGTATAGTTTGATGATCTTTTCTGCTAACTACTATACTTGTGAAAAACCCTTGGCAACAGAAACATATTCAGCTTTTTTTTTAATCGACCCAATTTACATAGTAATGGACGACTTCGTACATTTTATGATCGCAAATAAAATATGTATATAATATAATGTGCACTGTAGTTCGTATATATACTGAGACCCTTTGGCAACCCCACAGTTTAAATGTTTATGATAAATACGTCGGGAGTTGTGGGCGTTACAGACGAACGTTCACCTAATCTGACCCAGTCAATGGGATATTTCAGCGCGCCAATCAATGGTCTCGGCTACACTGTTTTGCACATGATTCTATATATATTCTAGACCTTATACTTATATTGGTCATTGATATATTTATGTAAAATGCTTATATTATAATTTTATATTTTAGCTCACTGTAAAGGATCATCAAGACCAAAATGTGATAATGGGGGATTTGTTGACCACAACTGTAAATGTTTCTGTCCATCTGGTCTAAAGGGAGACAACTGCCAGACAGTAGAAACATCATCAGGTAAGGGGAGACAACTGCCAAACAGTAGAAACATCATCAGGTAAGAGGAAACAACTGTCAAATAGTAGAAACATCATCAGGTTAGTGGAGACAACTGCCAAACAGAAGAAACATCATCAGGTAAGTGGAGACAACTGCCAAACAGTGGAAACATCATCAGATAAGGGGAGACAACTGCCAAACAGTGGAAACATTAGATAAGGGGAGACAACTGCCAAACAGTAGAAACATCATCAGGTAAGGGGACACAGCTGCCAAACAGTAGAAACATCATCAGGTAAGGGGACACAGCTGCCAAACAATAGAAACATCATCAGGTTAGGGGAGTCAACTGCCAAACAGTGGAAACATCATCAGGTTAGGGAACACAGCTGCCAAACAATAGAAACATCATCAGGTAAGTGGAGACAACTGCCAAACAGTAGAAACTTCATCAGGTAAGGGGAGACAACTGCCAAACAGTGGAAACATCATCAGATAAGGGGAGACAACTGCCAAACAGTAGAAACATCATCAGGTAAGGGGATACAGCTGCCAAACAGTAGAAACATCATCAGGTAAGGGGAGACAACTGCCAAACAGTCGGATATCATCAGGTAAGGGGAGACAACTGCCAAACAGTGGAAACATCATCAGGTTAGGGGACACAGCTGCCAAACAGTAAAAAACATCATCAGGTTAGTGGAGACAACTACCAAACAGTAGAAACTTCATTAGGTAAGGGGAGACAACTGCCAAACAGTAGAAACATCATCAGGTATAAAGGGGAGACAATTGCTAAACAATAGAACCATCATCAGGTAAGGGGAGACAACTGCCAAACAGTAGAAACATCATCAGGTAAACAGGGGAGACAATTGCCAAACAATAGAAACATTATCAGTTAAGGAGAGACAACTGTCAGACAGTAGAAACACAATCGGGTAAGGGGAGTAAACAGCCAAACTAGAAATATCATCCGGTATAAAAGGGAGACAATTGCCAAACAGTAGAAACATCATCAAGTAAGGGGAGACAACTGCCAAACAGTGGAAACAACATCAGGTAAGGGGACACAGCTGCCAAACAGTAAAAACATCATAAGGTTAGTGGAGACAACTGCCAAACAGTAGAAACTTCATCAGGTAAGGGGAGACAATTGCCAAACAGTAGAAACATCATCAGGTAAGCGGAGACAACTGCCAAACAGTAGAAATATCATCAGGTAAACAGGGGAGACAACTGCCAAACAGTAGAAACATCATCAGGTAAACAGGGGAGACAATCGCCAAACAATAGAAACATTATCAGTTAAGGAGAGACAACTGCCAGACAGTAGAAACACAATCAGGTAAGGGGAGTAAACTGCCAAACAATAGAAATAACATCAGGTATAAAGGGGAGACAATTGCCAAACAGAAGAAACATCATCAGGTAAAGTATGTGATTGAAAAGGAGATGCAAATTATATACAATTACTTTACTTCTGAGATAGTGTGTATTATGCTTCCAATTTCACACATTGACATGATAACATAAGAAATCTATGCAATACATATACAATAATAGGTCCATGCTAGAAAAATATCAACTTTTATACCCCCGCTTTAAAAAAGTGGGGTATACTGTTTTACCTCTGTCTGTCCGCCCGTCCATCCATCCGTCCGTCCGTCCGCCCATCAATCCATCCATCCGTCAGTCCGTCCATCCATCCCATGAATATTTTTCGTCGCATCTTTCTTAGGAACTACATCATAAGGATTTCTGAAATTTGGTTTCAGGGTTTATATAAGTTAGCTATACCGTGTGATGCGTTTTCAGATTCATCACTCAACAACTTCCTGTTTACCAAACACTTACATCAGTTTACACATGAGTAGCAAAGTTTTGAAAATTTTTGTCACATTTTTCTCAGGAACTACAGTACAAGGATTTCTGAAATTTGGTTTCTGGGTTTATATAAGTCAGCTATACCATGTGATGCATTTTCAGATTCATCTCTTCATCAAAAGACTTCTAAAAGGAAATACAGTCTTCAACAAAAGACATTTAGAGGGCAAAACAGTCAATAAAACATCTAATAGCTAAAGGGCGACATACAGTCTTTAATAAAAAGCATTTAGGGGGCAACATAGTCTTAAACAAACAAGAAAATATCTACATGTTGAGGGCAGTATACAGTTGTAAATAAAAAAGATCTACATGTAGAGGGCAGTATACAGTCTTTAACAAATAACATTTAAAGAGAGTGCTGTACAGTGTTTGATGAATTCACTAAAGACATGTAGGTGCCTATATAATATGTTGAGTTCTTAATCATCCTGAGTCTTAATCATCCAGTAGCCCTTTTCACAAAAAATCTTAAGTGTAAAATTAATCTTAAGATAAAAAATATTTAGTTGAATTGTTAAGGAATATTTTAGACTTACTATAAATTTTACACTTAAGATTTTTTGTGAAAAGGGCTACTGAGTCTTAATCATCCTGAGTCTTAAAAGTTATGAATAAAACAGAAACAAACCTGTCATTCACACCCTTTTCTCTGAATAAAGAAAGACAATTAAGATCTGACATTCTACAATTACTGATTTGGGACTAGCAAATGTAAATTTGTGGCGGGATTAAGCTACTGTAAATTCAGAAATTATTGCAAAAAATGCGAAAGGGTTATAATTGCAATAATTTATACTCGCATCTTGAAATTTTTTTATCTGAATTTTTAAAAACAGGATTTTTTCTCAATATCGCAAAAAATGAAATAACATTTTAGTCTAAAATGATAAAATCGCAATAATAAATGCACACAATAATTTCTGAATTTACAGTAGTTTATATTAGATCTCAGGTTTTACATGAACTTCAATCAGTATATGGTTACTATTTTAGCATGTGGAGGTATTGTCTATGTATCAGAGTCGTATGTCACAGAGATAAGAACACCTAATTGGCCGTCACCCTATCCTGTTGGAACAATGTGTACTTGGTTGATTAAGGTAAATGTTATGAATTTCATAGTAATACAATATTACAAAAAAAAGGATACAAAGCTAATTAAAAGGTCAACCTAAACAGGATAAAAAAAGTATGTCAATGGGGTGAACAAAAACACAAGTTGGAGAAAGCCAGCCAATACAATGGCCAAAATACAAATATAAGGAGAAAAAAAGTGGACAAAACGAGTTAACTCTCAGGAAAATAAAGATTGAGTGACATAAGCTGAACAAAAAACTGGGACAGCAGGGATCTCCATGGATGAAAATTTAACGATGGAGGAACTTTCACCATGACAAAACCCCGGCGTGATCTAGGTGAACAGGGTAATATATTGCTTATTATATTTATTTTATTTATAAAAATTCCAATGCCAAGCCTGCATTGCTCCCATTAGTCAAGAATGACCACAAGCTGTCCTTGGGGTTCCCACTTTGTTTTCTTGCTATTTTGGTATAAATTGTATAGGACTTAAAAATGGGTTGGATATTTTTTTCACTGTCAAATTCAGAAGTTGTGAAGAAAAGATTTGGAGGGCAAATGTTTACAACTTAAAAACTTTTAATAATTTTAGATAGCAAACCGGAAGACCGGATGTATCAATTTGATTGTACTGTAAACTACGAAATGAATTCGGAATTACGATGCGAAATTTCTTCAGATTATCAAGTTGCAGTTAATATTCATGTATTTACTTTTAAACTTGTAAAGTGATTAAATATTATTGATAATTGCTGAACTCGTGTTATTTGGCATGAAATTATGTTGAGTTTTACGTCTTATTTTGTACTCGTTTAGAAAATGGGATGCTGATTGCGTAAGTCAATATAAAAGCACGTGTTCGACCCGAGGCTTGTACAACTTTTTTCTTTGTTACTGGATTAAACATTTGTTTTTTTAATCTAAAGTTTCATTAGCATTTGCAGAAATGTAATTAAATATAATGCAATCAATCGTCTTTCTTGATCAAGAGTTCTCCTGTCAGGTGTGTTGATCCACCTATACAAGTGATTAGTGATCTTTTTTGCCAGATATCCCTCAGGGCTTGAAAACTGTAATTACTTTGGATTATAATACAAAAAGCCTAAAGGTTAAATTGAAATAATTGCTAACAAAAAAGGCGGCGGCTAGAGAAACGAAAACAAATTTTGACAATGTTGGGTAACCCAAATAATTCAGTCGCTCCCCTTAATCGATCTCTCCTACTTGCGATAGTTAATGGATTAATTGTAGATCAGCGAAATATAACAACTGAATTATTCTGGTTAAATAGCGGGTATTATTTGACAATGGTGGAAGTTAATTTTAACGATGGCGGGGATCATTTGAAGGTGAAGAAAGATATTTTAACGATGGCAATGCACCATCATAAAACAGGTCATGGAGATCTCTGGTACTGTATTTAGTAAAATAAAATGGTACTATATAGATATAAGAAGATAGGGTATGAGTGCCAATGAGACAACTCTCCATCCAAGTCCAAATTTGTAAAAGTAAACCAATTTATAGGTCAAAGTACGGCCTTCAACACGGAGCCTTGGCTCACACCAATCAGCAAGCTATAAAGGGCCCCAAAAATGACTAGTGTAAAACCATTCAAACAGGAAAACCAACGGTCTAATCTATATAAAAAACGAGAAACTAGAAAGACTTATGAACCACATCAACAAACAACAACCACTCAACATCAGGTTCCTGACATAGGACAGGTGCAAACAAATGCAGCAGTTTTAAACGTTTTAATAGGCGCCAACCATCACCCTACCCTGAAACAATTATAGTGTAACATCACAACATAGAAAAACACTATAAAATATCAATTGAAATGGCTTAACTCAATCAAAAGACATATTAACCAAAAAAAGGTGAACATACACTGAACTATGACACAATGTAAATACAAAATTAATAAAAAAAAAAGGATTGAGGTGAAAAACAATATCAGAAAGACAACCATTGCCTTGGACAAAATGCTATCAAAAAAATAAGGTACACAGATAAATAAAAATAATATACACACCTAAAAGACGGTATATCATAGGCAGACTATAGCTGTTGACTCTTGTTCTCCCTTGTGATGGTAGTGTTCTCTTTTGTTCTCCCTTATGATAGTAGTGTTCTCTCTTGTTCTCCCTTATGATGGTAGTTATCTCTCTTGTTCTCCTTTGTGATGTTAGTGTGACTCTTGTTGTCCCTTGTGATGTTAGTGTTCTCACCTGCATTTTCATAAACAACTGTTTTAAATAAGTATCGCTGAAATTTAACAAAGCATTTATATTATATTCTATTTTACAATATGTTCAGAAAGCTCCATTGTACAATTGCTGTGAAATTTAATGTTACCTTAAATATAATATGCAGGCAGAAAGACATTTAGGGCTTCTACAGTAATTGGTAACTCTGGAAGCAGATGTCCATTTGAGTTGTAACTAAATATAGAAGTGAGGTTTTACTGTCTTTTTCCTGGTTTAATATTATGTTCCTTCTATGCTCGAGAACTGTTAAAGATGTTCAATCCTTTTGTTTTTTAGTTTTTGTCAGATATTCAGAAGCCTCTATCCATGTAATGCCAATTGATATTTTGACTGTAAACCCCTACTTTTCTTTTTATGATTTTGTTACATATAGTTTCAAAAGCCATATTCAAAAATCATATATAATCCTTGTTATTTTTTCATACTTTTAGAAAGAAAAAAGATACCAATGTTAATTGATTAAAAATTCTAGAGAGAATCACTTCTGGCAAAATTTTCAATGGCTTATTATATCCTGAAAACAAGCACACTGTCCCTTCCCTTTTTTCAGCTTTTTTAGTTCTTTTATTCATATACCTTCAAATTTTAAAACAGTCTTTTAAAGCAGAGTAGCGAACATCCTTAAAAACTTGAAAGGGACATAACACCCCTACTAACTGTGTACATGTATTGAAATAAGCCCACCTACTTACCATATAAGAAAAATACACGATCTCCATGTGGTTGCTTTTAACCAATCATATTCTTAGAAATGTATATGACATAAGATAATATTTAAATTCAGGCTCCAGCTGGTATGTATATAAAGTTAACAGCAGACGAGCTTTCTCTACCATACAACACTCTAGATAGATGCTACCATTGGATGGAAGTTCGTTACAATCTGATTGGTCAACTTGGAGTGAAGATTTGCGGTGGTAATACAAACAAGACTTGGACTACAACTCCATCAGGTGAACCTAACTTAATGATGGTGAGATTTGATGCTAAATTTGCAGAAGACAGGGATCCAGGGGAAGGATTTAGAATCAGTGCCACAGCTTTAATCAAAGGTAAGAAGAAACTGTGGATTCATTTATTTTTCGTGGGTACCAATTTTCGTGGATTGAGGAAAACTTTCCTGCATATTTGATGTTGTCGTTTTGCCAAATTCTGCATATAACCTTATAGAAAAATTGTAATCCGTTGAACACTTAAAATGGTGGTTCACCTGTACCCACGAAATCCACGAAATTTGGTATCCAACGAATAATAATGAATCCACAGTATTTTGTTAATGACCATGTGAGAGCACCTTGATCGAACTATTTGATTGTCAGAAATCTTTACCATGTAAGATGTGTTTGTTTGTTGTTGTGTAATGCTACTTTCAGCACTCTTGGCTTACCATGAAGAACTATTTGAAGTTCAATATTTTTTACCGTCTAAGATCACTGAGAACTGGTTGAATATCAAATCAGTAATCTTAACCATGTAAGAATAATGAACTATTTGCATGTCAATAATCTTTACCATGTCATAGCACCTAAAACTATTTGCATATTAATCATCTTGACCATATCATAACTAAAAGAATATCAATAACCTCTACCCATGTAAGAACACTGAGAAGAAGTAAAACATCCTACACAGCCAAAATGGGTGCATTAGGTCAAACTGGTATAAGAAGACCAAGTTGACCATATTTCTATACCCAAAGTCACCCATGTGGCATATCAACTTGAAACTGAGTACATATTTTGATATCAAGTTTTAAAATGTATACCAAATTAGGTCTTTGATCCTGATTTCATGGTTCACTGTACATTGAAATTTAATGGTGTGAGCATTTAGCAAAATGTAAAATAAGAAAAATCTAGAACTCCAATGAAAATTCAAAACGGAAAGTCCCTTATTAATTTAAATGGCAAAATCAAAAGCTCAAACTTGGTACAGGTATTTCCTTATGTGGAAAAATTTTGATTAATCCTGGTTTTATAGCTAGGTATTTATAAATCTCTCGCTTGTATGACAGTCACATAAAAGCAAGGCATGGTACGTGTCCTATGGATACATATTCTAATTATTCTATTTACAGATTCAACTGTACCAAGTGACTCTTTGACCTGTACTTTTGAGCCTGGCTCGGGTTGTTTTCTAATGAATGATCCAAATGCAAAACTTAGATGGAAACAACAGGGAGTAAGTCAGAAAACTTTATTTTGGTGTCAAATCTATAAATAGTTTTGCATTTCAAAAAAGTCATAGTTTTGGACATTTTAATTGGTCTTTTCTAATGCATTTTGGGTAACATTTTCATAAGTGAACTTAAAAGTTTTGTGATTGGTTAATAGAATGCACAAGAATAGAAATTTAACCAATGGTGTAATGATTTTTTGTTTGTTTTGTTATCCTTATAATTTAATTTCCTGTAGGTTCTGAAACATAATGAGGACACAAAAAAGTACATACTTTTAATTTATGGATTCATCTCTAATAAACATTTGTAGTCTTTAGATCAGATTTTAATAAGTTTTGATATCAATGAGGGTCTAAATGTGAAAAGGGGTAATCATTTTTTTCATTTGTTTTTTTTGCCTTTTTTAAATATTGTTTTGTCTTTTATTTTCTATCCCTATAACCCATCCAGACGCTCATAAATGGAATTTGATATCCTTGAAAATTTTGAACAGACATCAATTAAAAAATAACTCATTATTGATTTCAGTTTTTAACACCCTCAGGCCTACTAGGAACCGGACCCTATCGAGCAAAAGAGGGGCAATATTACTCATACATGGAGTCTTCCCATCCAGCTAGTACAGGTCAGAGGGCTATATTTGTGATGAAAAATGAAATATATGAAGGTAAGAAAATTTTAAGACCTCTTCAAACAATAGTTCTGTCCTTTGCAAAAGGAAGGAAGAATGAGTGTGAGAAAGGAGTAGTTATATATGGGTAAAAGCACGTGCACTATATGAACCCAATATTTCATAACTATAAATATTCTAGTTGATGCTTGTTTGAATTTAAAATATAATAAGTTTATATATAGTCTTTCTTTCTTTTTTTAGTTTTGACCTTTGTAACCCAAACAGGATTTTAATAAAGTTTTGGTTTAGGGAAACATATTTAAGTCAAATTTGTTAATTATTTTAGTTACAACATACATTATGTTAAAACATCTTTTCTCCATTTTTTTTAGTCAAATTAGATGTCTGTTATTTCATTACATATTTAGACCTAGGAAACATAAAGCCTGGGCCTAACAGTCCTAAACATTTCGAACATAATTATTGTACTCAGACTTAAAAATCAATCAATCAAAATACTGGATTTGGTGTTTTGAGCAAAAATGTTGTAGTCATGAGGACTGAGTCAATTTTTATGACCAAAAGGCCAGAGCTCTTAAGTTAAGTTATTTGTTATAACATACATAAAAGAAAGATGAAAGATACAAAAGAGATATTCAAACTCATGAGTCAAAACAAAACTGACAATACTATGGCAACAAACAACCAAAATACAAACGAGTCCACAAAACACTACATAGATAACTGAAGACTAAGCGACACTAAAAACAGGGGGTGATCTCTGAGGTGCTCCAGAATGGTAACAAGCAGATCCTGCTCCACACAAGGTACACATCTTTTTTTCACATGATTATTTCATTTCTTTTCTCAGCCAAACCAAGATGTTTGTCATTCTACTACAGTATGCATGGGGCGACAATGGGTTCGTTAGAAGTTTACCGGAAAGGGACAGGAATTCCAAAGGATCGTATCTTTATTAAAGAAGGAGATCAGGGAAACCAATGGAAACTTGCCAATATTTCAATACAACCTGTTCCTGGTCTTCAGGTTTGTAAGAAAGGGTAACAGCATAATACATTACTGTTACCATCTTGAGGCAAAGTTAAGGAATCAGTACAGTGATATTCAGGTACTGATGTCTTTAGCTTATAACAAAGCATTTATTGTAGCGTGACAAATTATAGATATTGTTAAAATACAGAGATGTGGTATGATTGCTGATGAGACAATTTATATATAACAGAGATCAAATAATCAGAAAATAAGCAAATGTATGTCTGTGTACTTTCTTCTTGTGCACTAGATCTATTTCTAAATTTCCTCCACCAAATTCCGGTTTTAAATTTTTGAATTGTTAATTAACATTTGATATTCATTTAATTGGTCACTAAAGTTTTGTAGTTGTGGTCATTAACTGTTTAACTGATATTTTTGATAAGACAAATCATATTGATATCTAATCGCCAATTCAAACAAGAATTGTTTTAAAAAATCATGGGCCTAAGTTGCTGAGTTGACTGTATCATTATGATAATCCTGTCAACACTGAGGTTGTACCAGTGTTCTAGGTCTCCAGGACTTTTAGCATCAGCATGGTAATATGTGATGCTATCTGAAATGAGTTTCTTAAAGATGGTGTTATGGATGTGATGCTATCATATATATAGTTTCTACAAACAAGATGGTATTTCACCATTCCCTGTTTGCCAGGATGATATAAGAAATATCAAAGGAGAACACTGGTTGTACATGTAAGTTCGAACCCTGCATGTGGCAGGTGCATTCTACACCAATCTTTATTGACTAGAATTTTTAGCTTTCCTGCCGAAAGGTTGGTTGTTGTCTCCAGCATATCTAGCTACCTCCGCCAATAAAAAATAGCCGCCATGATATAATCAATAGTGGTGAAAGTGGTGTTAAACACTAACAATCAATTAATCAAGCAATCATGAAAATGCACATTCAGGATGTTTGGGGAAAAATGTAATATTTGGAATGCATATATTAAGTATGCGCCTGCAATTTGGATTTTTTATTCTGTGATTTTATAGAGATTTCGTCTTCAAGCCATTGTTCCACTACTAAATTGTCTATTCTTCTTACCAGTACACTTGGTACAATCAAAAACCTGATAATAAATTGTTCAAATAAGGCCTTCGAAATAGTGGAATTAATTACTTTTGGAGTGTCAAGAACTCGTTGGAAATACTTGATAAATTACATGCATATATTGGTGATTTTGAATCTGTTCAAAGTTTTTGATTTTTCTACCCTATATACCACATTGCCTCACATTCTCATTAAGAAAAAATTCACACACCTAATTAAATGGGCATTTATAAAGTCAGAATGTGAATATATATGTTCAAACTCTTTTAGGTCATTTTTTAGTAGCAATAAACAAAAAAACTATGTCAATTAGACATGCTTTGATACTATATATGCCCTTGAATTTTTACTAGATAACATTTTTGTTCGCTTTGGAGATTCCGTATATCGTCAGGTTATTGGAATTCCAATGGGGACTAACCGGCACCACTTATTGCGGACCTTTTTTTGTATTTCTATGAGTTACAATTTATGACAAAAATCAGCAAAGACCCATCGAAACAACATCTGATACACAAATTTAATAATACTTTTAGATATTTGGATGATATTTTGGCTCTCAATAATGACGACTTCATTATGTATACTAAAGAAATTTATCCTGTTGAACTTACTTTAAATAAAGCTAATACTAACAATGACCACTGCCCTTTCCTCGATCTTGATATCTATATCATTAATGGAAAGCTTGATACTAAAATATATGATAAAAGAGATGATTTTTCATTTCCTATCGTTAATTATCCATTTTTAGATGGTGACGTTCCCTTGTCACCATCTTACGGTGTTTATATATCTCAACTTGTACGATTCGCTCGTGTATGTAACAATGTTTTAGATTTTAACGAGAGAAATTTATGTATTACTGAAAAATTATTACACCAGGGTTTTCGATATCACAAACTAGTCAAAACATTTACTAAATTTTATCATCGGTATAAGGACATCATTCGTAAATATAGCTCAACATGCAGACTTCTTATAAGTTCAGGTATTTCACATCCAATTTTTTATGGAAATATTCTTTATAAAGCACAAAAATGTCAGTATTTACCTCTGAAGCTAACAAAACCTTTAAATAGACTTATTAAGAAGGGATATAGTTACGATACTGTTGTCAGGTCATTAAAGATTGCATATTTTGGCGTTAATATTGATTCACTTATACGGTCTTTGCATCGGCACTAAACACATTTATTTAAAAACCAGTTGTTGGCATGATACGGATTATGTTCTTCTCATATATGTTATGATGGTATGATACTAAACCCCTAACGGGAAGGATTGTGCCTGATATTCATATGATGAAGACATAATCTTTCAATCAGTTTAATTGAAGTCTGGAGCTGGCATGTCAGTTAACTGCTAGTAGTCTGTTGTTATTTATGTATTATTGTCATTTTGTTTATTTTCTTTGGTTACATCTTCTGACATCAGACTCGGACTTCTCTTGAACTGAATTTTAATGTGCGTATTGTTATGCGTTTACTTTTCTACATTGGCTAGAGGTATAGGGGGAGGGTTGAGATCTCATAAACATGTTTAACCCCGCCGCATTTTTGCACCTGTCCCAAGTCAGGAGCCTCTAGCCTTTGTTAGTCTTGTATTATTTTCAATTTTAGTTTCTTGTGTACAATTTGGAGTTTAGTATGGCGTTCATTATCACTGAACTAGTATATATATTTGTTTAGGGGCCAGTTGAAGGACGCCTCCGGGTGCGGGAATTTCTCGCTGCATTGAAGACCTGTTGGTGACCTTCTGCTGTTGTCTGTTCTATGGTCGGGTTGTTGTCTCTTTGACACATTCCCCATTTCCATTCTCAATTTTATTGTCTAACAAAAACATTGCCATTGCCATTTATGCTTTTATTAATTGGACTCCATGGAAGGTTCACACACTTTTTCTAATTTTAGATATATATTGAAGCAGTCCGTGGATCAACACATCTAAGTGATATTGGAATTGATGATGTAAAACTTGTTACCGGATACTGTCGTAAGTCAAATTTTGTTCACACATATAAAGTTCAGTGGTTGTCGTTGGTTAATGTCTGTCATATTTGTTTTTCCTACACTGTTTTATTATAAATTAGTCCATTAGTTTTCTTGTACGAATTGTTTCACATTTTTGTGTCTTTTCTCTTTTTAGCTAACTGTAATTGTAATATTTACGCTTGGAAAATATTCTTTGAACTTTAAACATTGTCTTTACCTTTTAAATTAGTCATTTAGTAACTTTTATATTCCAAAATGTTACAGCTAATTTCCTAATGCTTGTAGAGTAAAACTTTGGTTGGCTTGCTTGCTTAGTTTGTATAAAAGTTTACCCATTGGGCAAGCTGTGTAATTATGATTGACATCTTGAAACAATATATATAGGCATAGTTAAACCTATATATTATATTTAAATTTGATTGGAAGTTATTCAAACTACTATACATTGTAAAATATACAAACAAAGCAAGCAAGCTAACCAAAATCTTGCTTTACATGCATTAGGAAATTAGCTGTAATTTGTCCTTGCAAATAGCCATGGTTTTTATTTAGAGGAGGTCTGAAATTATTTCTCGAGAATTATAAGTGAACAACCATACCAAAACTCTAAAGAAAACTGAAATACTGAAGAAAATTACAACAGATTCATGTTCCCCCCGGAGAGTGGGAGATTGTGGGTTAGAACCCTGGCCTGGTCAAACCAAAGACTTTAAAATTGGTATAACATTAAGTTCCTTGTGGCATTATGGAGTAAGAGCAAAGACTGGTCGGCTTGAATTTTTAAAATTTTTCCACTTATACTAAAAAAATCCATAACTTGTAATAATATAAGCATTGCCTATTTTTCATGCAAGTCTAGTCTAGATCTGTTCCTTAAAATTTACACTCATGAGGCCACTATCACATGCTAGTACTTTATAATTTTTTTTTTTTCAGACATGGTTTGTACATTTGAGTCTGAGGATCCAGATTGTTTCTTTGATCTATCCAAGGGTGACTATAACTGGGATATAAGACAGGTAAATATCATAATTAAGATATATCAGTTAGGGAAATTTGATGGTTGAGATAAATCAGACAGGTAAATATCATGGTTGAGATATATCAGACAGGTGAATATCATGGTTGAGATATATCAGACCGGTAAATATCATGGTTGAGATATATCAGATAGGTAAATATCATGGTTGAAATATATCAGACAGATAAATATCATGGTTGAGATATAATACAGGTGATTATCTTTGTACATATCATGGTTGAGATATATCAAGAAGGTCAGTATTATATATAACACCAGTAAATATCATGGTTGAGACATCATACAGGTAAATATTATGGTTGAGATATATCAGACATATATATATTGTGGTTGGCATAAATCAGACATGTAAATATCATGGATGAGATTTATCAGACAGGTAAATATCTTGGTTGAGATAGATCAGACCGGTAAATGTCATGATTGAGATATATCAGACAGGTAAATATCATGGCTGATATATATCAGACAGGTAAATGTCATGGTTGAGATATATCACACAGGTAAATATCATGGTTGAGTTACACCAGACAGGTAAATATCATGGTTGAGTTATGTCACATGGATAAATATCATGATGGAGATATATGTTGCAGGTAAATATCAAGGGTGAGATATATCCAACTGGTGAATATTGCTCACATGAGGTAAACATATGTTAAGTTTCAATCAATGATAATCAGTGGAATTATGACTGCAACAAAACTTGTTACAGAAACCAGAAAAAGATTGAATAATGGTCAACTTAATCATGGTGGTGTCTATAAAGACCATTTAGAATTGAAACCCTTGGTTAACTATGCTCATTGCATTTGTACATATTGTAAGCATAAAATGTATCAAGAAAAATCATAATTTGAAAAGTGAACCATCTAATCAACTAGGAGATAGTTTTCATATGCAAAAACTGCCTGAAAGTTTCTAGATACCCAAATGTAGAAATAAGAACTAACTTTTTTTATTGGTCATACCTTAATATTGACTTTAATTTTCAATTGTCTTTGGTAGGACCTCTGTGGCCTGTATGATCTAAGTAGATCATTATCTATATCACTAACCTTTTAACACTGAGTTAACCATGCATGTGAAAGCTATGTTTAATTTCAATCTTTATTGACTAGGATTGTTGGTCCTCTGGACATTTGGATCTTCTCAACTTATAAAAACTGACAACCAAGAAATAGCCAATTGTCCTGAAAGTGGCATCAAACACCAACAATCGATCAATAGATCAATCAACAGTATTTTGATAAATATAAATAGTAAAGGCAATAGATTTACAAGTATAGGCAACCTACAATAAAGGTCAACTCTATTGAGTGAAAGTTTGTGTTGTCAGATCATCCCTGGCTTTCTTGTTCCACTGTAGTAATACTTATGCATTATCAACCTCAATTTAAAGGTCACCTCTCTTATAAGGCAACTGTGGATTCATTAATTTTCGTGGATTGCAGAAAACTTACTTTTTCATGGATTTTTGATTTTGTTGGTAGGCAAAAAAGTCTGTATACAAGCCTTTAGAAAATATGTACTTCGTTGGACATCTAAATTCATTGTTTACGTGTACCCACGAAATCCACGAAAATTTGTATCCCAGGAATAATAAGATTTCCCCAGTATATGCAAGTTTGATTGTACAATGTACCACCTACTCATATTGTTGAGGGGCGTAAAGGGGGGTATCTGCACGGAAGAACACGAAATGAAATTGCCATTTCACGATGAACGAACAATTAAAAATTTCTTGCACGTTGATCTTTTTACCGATTTCACGAAACATGATAACGAACCTTTTTCACGGCTGCACGTGGAATAAAAATGGCAAAACACGTTGCACGGAAATAACCCTTTACCACCCTCATTGTTAGTTAATGTATATCATGCACTGCAGACATTTATATTCCTTTTAGGGGAAAACACCTTCAAGGCACACAGGACCATCAAGAGCACACAGTGGACAGTTTTATGTGTACTTGGAAGCCAGTTATAGACGAATGGGTGGGACTGCTGTCATGTCATTTAAAGTTCCACCAATGGGTAGGTCTCTATTTTTAGAAATTGATGGATTGATAGATTAGTATGTAATGTCTTGTCACTATTTTCTTAATAAAACCACACCAACATGGATCTCTTACATTGTTTCTAAAGTATGTATTAAAAAATCTGAACATAAATGTCGAAAACTTTTAACAAAGAAAACAAAAAAGATACCATATCAGATGGTTATCAAAAATAAACAAGTTGAAAATAATAGACCTTGGCTAAAAGAAAATGAAAAAAAAGACAAAACATGACAAGCAAAAATTTTAAAAATTGAGCATCAACAATCCAATTAGAATTAAGGGTTCTGTTCAATATTGTGGCAGCTAGTACATCCGCTTTGTCTTGTTGAACAATATGCTATGGAGCTAGGCTATCCACTTGATGTCATTTAAATGATACTTTACTATCTGATGCCACTATGGATTCTCTAGGACTAGATAGCGTTTATTTTTTAGGCTATCTTGATCTGAGAAAGTTTCAAAATTGAAAATTGACATATTTTAATAAAAAAAAAATAATAAGGAGTGTTTTTTACAATTTCAGCCCACAATGAGTATTGCCTGAGCTTTGCTTATAGCATGAATGGAGGAAACATGGGAGAATTAACAGTTCAAAATGGGGCAGAACTTTGGACCAAAAAAGGAAACCAGGGACATAGTTGGAAAGAAGCGGAAGTTACAATCAATGTTGAGACAGGAGATCTTGTAAGTTGAAAATAGTTTTTATAATTCTAAAGCTATATTTTATCACATGATCCTTGTTTTGCAGACTGAATCCCTGCTTAAAAAAAACATCATGCATGGGAAATTAAATAATCTGTATTTATGCTAATGAATCATCTTTTGGCACACAAAACAAAACACCCAGAGGTCAGCATTATGTCATCAGCAAGAGTCAAGTCAGTTTTCCAAAAGCACTATTTCACTCATTTTGACCCCGAAGGGTCTTTTTTCTGGACATCAGGATTGGACCTTTTTTTTGCCAGAATTCAGGTTAAGCCTTTATTTGCGTGGGAATATGGGATTTACAACTATGGGGCTTCGGGAATTCATGATTAATATTTTTGATTCTTAGAAGAATGATTAATTTTTTCTGGAATTTGAGATGACAATCTCTCCTACTGCCTCTCCATTTTAGGGGTAAACATTTAATTTTTTAATTGATAAAACAACACAGTGCAGTGAATTACACATTGTTTAAATTGTACCCAACCAATGTGATGCAAATAATTAACTATGATATATACTCAGATATTATAGTTACAAAATGATGTGTATGAATATAACCATAACCATACATGTCAAGAGAACTTTTTTTTTATTAAAAATCACACAGGTGAAAATATTTTCAACTGCAATAACTTAGAATTTTAAAATTATAAACAAAATAATTTCACAAAATAAATCATGTGTCTATATGTGAACCATTGCTGAATACTGTGTGAATGATGACTCACAGTCACTGTTGGTTTTATGTTAAAGCTTGAATTTATTTACAGATTCAGATTGTTGCCAAACTAGGATATGACTATACAAGTGACATAGCAGTAGATGATATAGTCATGAAGGAAGGAGTCTGTTAATTTTGTAAGTACTACAAGTTTAAGTAACCATTGAGGAGTCTTTAAATAGATGGTTGTGAATAAAGCGACATTCTCTATATATAACTTTATCTTTATTTCAATTCAAATGCATATGCCAGTAAATAAAACATTCTAAGATTCAAACAACCATAGTTGTGTTTATCAAAGACTTGTTGACAGCTTGTATAAAGGGAATTGCATATCCTACCATATTATAATATTTTTATTAAGTGGAGACTACTCTTTTAACATAAAAAGAAGGCATAAAATCCATAACATATTGTAACGACAGAAAGAATGTCATAAAATCATTTTGTCTTCTGAATTATTTCTGAACTTATATTTTTTTTTGTACATGGATTAGGCCATTGGTTTTCTCGTTTTGATTGTTTTACATTTGTGATTTCTGAGCCTTTTAAAACTATCTATGCAGTGTGGGCTTTGCTCATTGTGGAAGGCCGTATGGTTACATATAACTGTTAATTTCTGTGTCATTTGGTCTCTTAAGGAGAGTTGTCTCATTGGTAATCAATTTTTTTACCACATCTTCTTTTTTATATATATCATAAGGAAGGATAACAATCTTCAATGTGCACAGATATATTGAGCCATTTGATTGAATTTGAAGCAATGTCTCAAAAATATCCTCATTCAAAGGTAATATGATCTGAATAAAAGTTTTTGGTAATACTCCAAGGACCAACCAACCCAACAACACAAACAAAACAAATACAATTGATATGAAAAAATTTTTAGCAGAAATTTTTGTTTTCTAGGTCAGACATCATATCTAGAAATCAGTTATATATATAGTCTTATTGATTTGATTTTGATTTTATGTGTTTTAACACCATTTTTAAGCACTGCTTTTTTGGCTATTTCTTGGCGGCCAATCTTTATCGGTGGAGAAAGCTGGAGTGCCAGTAGAAAACCACTGACCTTGGATAGGAAAACTGACAACCCTAGTCAATTAAGATTCGAGTCGAGTGCATCCTCACAAACTTATTTTTGATTGGCTAGTGATTACAGTAGTAACTTCCTTATAGTCATTGAAAGCTAAGAGATATACGTACATCTCCTCTGTGTACCCTATGTTTAAGACACATTTCTCAGCCCTCCCAAATTTGCCCGCTTTTTTATAGGCTGCATGCAGTCCAAATACCCATCTTTGAAGTATGCAATTTACCTACCAATTGTTTTGTTTTATTATTGTTATCTTATCCCGAACAATCATTAAATGTTTGCCACTAAACCTTCTATAAATTACCATAAATCAATATTTTCTAATGAACAAAACAAATTTACCATAGAGATCTTTCATGTAAGCTTCCTAAATGTTAATTTTTTTTGCAGTTAGACTACAGTACTTATTGGCGAAGGAATGCACTTGTGTCTCAAACTGACTGTCTGTGGCTGACCCAGACTGTAGCTTCCAGTGCTATATTTGTCTAATTATCAATTGAATGTCTCAATATTTATTTTATTTATTGTTAATAAAAAAAAATTCGAAAATAAAAATGTTGTTTAAATGATGTACGTTTTTTTTTGCTATAAATTATCACAATTTTATTCAGTGATTGATTATCTACAAAACCCAGGAAAATTAATTAACTTCAGTTACATGCACAAGTATTTCTCAGAAGAAGAAAAAAATGTTCATTAGTATGGTACGCTCAAAACCCCCAAAAGACAAAAAGTTTTTGAGGAAAGATACCAATAGGACCAAAAACAAATTCCAACTTTGTAATAACATTAATGACAACAACTTTGCTGCAACTGATGTGACTTTCAGCAATTCATGACTCTTCAGTGCATGATGCTCAAGTTAAAAATATCTGAAAATCAAAACCTTTTTCACCCTCAATTGTTTTATAACTTCACAAATCAAAGAACTGAAAATACCTTTAATTGTCTCACTAAATTAATAAAAAAGAAACTGTTTAAAAGCAATATGGAAGTTCTGGGCAGGTTGTCACTAGTAGTTCTCTAGTAGTGTTATACCAGTAGGTGGAAATAATTTTACTTTACTTTCATCCGAATTGATAGAGAGAGCTAAGTTATAAATAAAACCGAAAATGTCCATGGTTAGAATGAATTTGGAAGGAATGATATAACTAATAAATAATAATTTTCATTTTGAAAGTAAAAGTGCCCCTATAGGAGCAGGGTTGATTGTCCATGGTTTAATGTCCAGTGGAAAACATTTTATGTAAGTTCAGAACCAAATGGAGCAGGAGCTGCTGAATCCTCATTTGAAATGTTTATAGATATAAGAAGATGTTGTATGAGAGCCAATGAGACAACTCTCCATCCAAGTCACAATTTGTAAAAGAACAACCATTATAGGTCAGAGTACGGTCTTCAACAAGGAGCCTTGGCTCACACCAAACAGTTAGCTATAAATTGCCCCCAAAATGACTAGTGTAAAACCATTTAATTGGAAAAACCAATGACCTAATCTATATATAAAACAAGAAACACTTATGAGCCACATCAACAAACAACAACTACTGACCATCAGGTTCCTGACTTAGGGTAGGTGCAAACAAATGCAGCCGGTTTAAACGTTTAAATAGGTACCAACCTTCACCCTTACCTGAAACAATAGTGCAACTTCACAACATAGAAAAACACTATAAAATATCAATTGAAATGGCATTACTCAATCAAAAGACATTAACACAAGTGAACATACACTGAACGAAAAAATTTGATCTATGACACAATGCTAATACAAAATCAATGAAATAAGGGAAAATAAATAAAGGCATCAGTAGCTAGTATACTGCTGTGAGATGTTAAATAATTTCAGAAGTCAACGATACCCTTGAAAAAATAACCTTGCCGCCCAAATAAAATAATGTACACAGGTAAAAGAAAATAATTTTGTTGTAAGGTATACAGTATAAATGGTGAACAGCAATATTTTTTACATGTTCACCAATTGTTTTGGTGGACATTATTTTACTCTATAAGTAGACTTCTGTGTACGGATTTGTTCAAGTTGATTTGTCTGTTATTGTTGGTTTTTTCCTTTAGTCATGGTATTGTATGTTTTGCTTCATACCGCATAATCAGCTATAAAAGACCTTGAAATCAGAAATGTTAAAAACAATTCAAACAAGTAAACTATTTGCCTATTTATTGTAAAAAAAATGAACGAAAAACATATATGCAACATAGCATATTTTTTTTTATTTACATTTTTTGAAGCCATTCGAATGTAGTTGTCTAGATTGATTTGGATTGCCGTCCTATTAATGCACACATTTACAATGATTTACCCCCACACCTTTTTTAGCTCACCTGGCCCATAGGTCCAAGTGAGCTTTTCTCATCACTTGGCGTCCGTCGTCCATCATCGTCTGTCGTCGTTAACTTTTACAAAAATCTTCTTTGAAGAAACGACTTGGCCAAATTTAACCAAACATGACCACAATCATCATTAGGGTATCTTGTTTAAAAAATGTGTCCGATGAACCGGCCAACCAACCAAGATGGCCGCCATGGCTAAAAATAGAACATAGGGTCAAAATGTAGATTTTGGCTTATATCTCTGAAACCAAAGCATTAAGAACAAATCTGTCATGGGGGTAAAACTGTTTATCAGGTCAAGATCTATCTGCCCTGAAATTTTCAGACGAATCAGACAACCCCTTGTTGGGTTGCTGCCCCTGAATTGGTTATTTTGAGGACATTTTGCAGTTTTTAACCGGATTTTGGAAGGAAATATCGGTTATTAAAATGGTGATGTACGTCGGGCGGCTGGTCGGATCTACAACCGGCTGCCAAACAGTGTCAGCACAATAACATGAAGAGGCTTTAACAATTTTTTTTTTCAAATTTAAAAATGTTGTTTCCTGGGACTTAATGAAGGTCTAGTTCAATTTTCAAGATTTTAGTATATCTCCTATGTCAGTTATTGCCATTTTTAATATCCAAAAGTGGAATTTTTTAAATATTTTACTCTTGTAATCTTTTTTATGACTAAGCATAATGTCTTATCTCACAATAAAATTTGGAGTGACAGATTTTTTTGAAAATCATCTATTTCCTATAAGTGGTAATGATTATAAGCTATATTATTAGACATTTTGAAGTTAATTACATTATTAATTATTAATTAGATCTGGGTTATATCTTAGCATACAATATCATTGGAGTGACAGATTTATTTGAAAATTTTCTGTTTCCTGATAAGATCTGTAGGACTGTATATATAGTTTGAAATTTACTAGAAGGACTGTATAAATGAAATTTGAAATTTACTGTTCATTATTAGACATTTTGTAGATAATTTAGTCTCCCTAAACCATATATATTCTTACCCCCACCCCCCTTCAATTTGAGAATGTGTTTTAATCTTGTAAATGATTGAGATTCCCACCCCTAAACCATATATATTCTTGTATGGGACAAAAAAAAACAAATCAAATGAAATATTTGGGGAGTCCCCGGGTTCACCCCATCCCCTTCTGTTTAAGAAATTGTAAACGGTCGAGATCCCCACCCCTAAACCATATATATTCTTGTATGGGACAATAACACAAATCAAATCTAATATAGGGGAAGTCCATGGGGGTCACCCCCACCCCCCTTCTTTTTGAAAACTTGTAAACAATCAAGATCCCCACCCCGAAACCATATATCTTCTTGTATGGGACAATAAAACAAATCAAATGAAATATAAGGTTAGTCCCCTGGGGTCAACCCCACCCCCTCCTGTTTTAGAACTTGTAAACGGCGAGATCCCCACCCCTTAATCATATATATTCTTGTACGGGACAATAACACAAATCAAATGAAATATAGGGGAAGTCCATGGGGGTCACCCCCACCCCCCTTCTTTTTGAAAACTTGTAAACGGTCAAAATCCCCACCTCGAAACCATATATATTGTTGTATGGGACAATAAAACAAATCAAATGAAATAAAAGGTGAGATCCCTGGGGTCACCCCACTATATCCTGTTTAAGAACTTGTAAACGGTCCAGATCCCAACCCCTAAACCATATATATTCTTGAATGGGACAATAAAACAAATCAAATGAAATAGAGGGGAAGTTAATGGGAGTCACTCCAACCCCTTTCTTTTTGATAATTTGTAAACGGTCAAGATCCCCAACCCAAAACCATATATATTCTTGTATGGTACAATAAAACAAATCAAATGAAATATAAGGCGAGTACCCTGGGGTCGCCTCCCACCCCCTCCTGTCAAAGAACTTATAAACGGTCGAGATCCCCACCCCTAAACCATATATATTCTTGTATGGGACAATAACACAAATCAAATGAAATATAGGGGAAGTCCATGGAGGTCACCCCAGCCCCCTTCTTTTTAATAACTTGTAAACAGTCAAGATCCCCACCCTGAAACCATATATATTCTTGTATGGGACAACAAAAAAATTCCAATGAAATAAAAGGCGAGTCCCCTGGGGTCACCCCATCCCCTCCTGTTTAAGAACTTGTAAACGGTTGAGATCCCCACCCCTAAACCATATATATTCTTGAATGGGACAATAAAACAAATCAAATGAAATATAGAAGTCCATGGGGGTCAAACAGTCGAGATCCCCACCCCTAACCCATATATATTCTTGAATAGGACAATTAAACAAATTAAATGAAATTGAAGGGGAGTCCCCTGGGGTCACCCCCACGCCCCTTTTTTTTGAAAACTTGTAAACGGTCAAGATCCCCACCCCGAAACCATATATATTCTTATATGGGACAATAAAACAAATCAAATGAAATATAAGGCGAGTCCCCTGGGGTTACCTCCCACCCCCTCCTGCTTGAGAACCCCGACAATAACACAAATCAAGTCACCCCTACCCCTTTCTTTTTGAAAACTTGTAAACAGTCAAGATCCACACCCTGAAACTATATATATTCTTGTATGGTACAATAAAACAAATCAAATGAAATATATGGCGAGTACCCTGGGGTCGCCTCCCACCCCCTCCTGTTAAAGAACTTATAAACGGTCGAGATCCCCACCTCTAAACCATATATAATCTTATATGGGACAATAACACAAATCAAATGAAATATAGGGGAAGTCCATGGGGGTCACCCCAGCCCCCTTCTTTTTAATAACTTGTAAACAGTCAAGATCCCCACCCTGAAACCATATATATTCTTGTATGGGACAACAAAACAAATCAAATGAAATGAAAGGCGGGTCCCCTGGTGTCACCCCATCCTATCATGTTTAAGAACTTGTAAACGGTTGAGATCCCCACCCCTTAACCATATATATTCTTGAATGGGACAATAAAACAAATCAAATGAAATATAGAAGTCCATGGGGGTCAAACAGTCGAGATCCCCACCCTAACCCATATATATTCTTGAATAGGACAATTAAACAAATCAAATGAAATTGAAGGGGAGTC